AACGTGACGACACGTCATGTGACCTTTATGGTTCGAATAATAGCAATACTATCGGCATATCGCACATCAACAAGTTTATTGACAGCTCATTCTGCCACAACCCACAACCATCAACCATCATCAAGATCCATCGAACGATGTCGCAATATCGGATAAATGTTTGGCCTCTGTTTGCCACAATGTTTCTTTTATACCCTATTGATGGCTTTCAAACGAAATCGCAAGGATTGAAGAATCATCAACAATCACTTATTCATGATCATCTTCCTTACTCCGTCTATCCAACCCTTCCATCCACTTCTTCCACAACTGCTTGTTTTGCCGAGTCGTCCAAGAAAGAAGGAGCAAGCATCCGATTCAGTGGTAGTGATGCTACCCTTACGAATCCATTGGATGCCTTCTTGTCCTTTGTGGCCTCGGATGTAACTTCCATTGCCTTGGGTCTGATTGGACTGTTCTTTGTGGTTGGAAACCGACTCGCTGGTTTAGATCTCGACACTGCTGAAAATTTGACGGTGCAAACCAGAACCGATTTACTCGCTACTTTTGCGTGTGGTTCCGTCTTGTTGAACGGAATTACAAAGCTGGATGTGACCTCAGCCTTGGCCGAGGCAGTTGTTTTGGAGGGACAAGCCTTGCCTGAGGCAGAACTGTTGGACACGGATAGTGCAAAGCTTGGTGGTGAGAAGCAAACCACGATGCTTTGGGCCCTAGATTCTCTCCTGGTGGCAACTCCCGCTAAAACTGCCATTATCTTGGAAAAGCAGCAATCTTCTGACGGTGATTGGAGAATGGTAGCACGAGCTGGAATTGTGTCGTCCACAACCGACATTCCTGAAAGCACACCCATTCTCAAGCGCGTCGCCACACCCGGAAATACCAAAGAGACCTATCTCCCAACCCTGCAAGCCCTTCCAGGTAAGACGGAATTTCCCTACTTGCCATCCAACTCGCAATTGTGCCTATTGATTCCTTTTGACGACAACAACCAAAGGGTACTCGTGTTGGGCGGAAACATGGCCAAAAGCTTTTCACCCCGAGATGTGGCATGGGCTCGGATCATTGCAGAACGAATGGGGAATTCAGAATAACAATATTATAAAAGACTAGCTAGACAGTCATATTATTTATACTTTGTGAACCGCCAACTGATGGAAACACTATTATTTTCAACCTTTCTCTACTGCTATTCCCAGTGTTGGATTGTGATTCTAGTGATCAATGACTGTTGCTAAGCAAAAGCAATTCAGCCACATTACGTGTTCGTCACACACTATCATTGCATTCCAAACATGGCAGCCACCTGGGAACCCGCATCCGGCTGGGATGAGTCATTGGGCAAGATTTCATGTCGCGCTTGTTGCATTGCGTCATGTGTTGACATTCCTTGAGCCCGGAGTTCTTTGTAGCGCTTGGTCACTAGTTTATGGGCACGCTTGGGGTCCTTGGCTGCTGCTTCTCTAGCTGCAGCAGCTTCTTGTTCTAGTTTCTGCTTTTTGGCCAGTCGTTCCTTTTCTTGCTTGGCTCGTTCCTTCTTGTCGCGGAGTAGGAAATTCTTACTCTTTTGATACCAGGATTTCCAAAGGGTGTGCAGTGAATTCGTCTCATCGCTAGATTCCGTTTGCCATGGTTTGATTGGCTCCGAGTAATGAATAATGTGCAAATCATGGGACAATTGAGCATCCCAAAAGGAAGATTCGCCCGTTTTGGGGTCTTTGGTCCGTTCGTAGAGCTCTGTCTGGGCATTGTAGCCTGCGGACAATCGGGCATCGGGAGGAAAATCCGTAAACCAAGTTGGATAGTAGGCATTCAAATATCCCGTATCACTCCCATCAAAGGTGGTCAAATGCTCGGCATTCTTTTGCAAAGTCTGAAATACCTGTGTGGAAGGCCGAATGACCATGACTCCACTGTTGAAGTTGGATGGGGGAAGAACATCGGGTGCGGCTGCCACCAGAGCTTCACTGTATTTTACAGCAATAGGGGAGTAGAAATATGTTCGTTATATATAAAATTGGTGAGGATGAATGATACAAAATATACACTCCATAAACAACATGTGCGATTGAGGATTGATGCGAAAAAAGAACTTACGATTCGGTATACACCTTGTTGAGATCCAACAAATGAGAGACGTCCTTCAATACCAGACAGTCTGAATCAATATAAAGTATTGTTTCATATTGTTGCAAGCCAAATATTCGAAGTTTTGTCCACCCAGGATTGTGATTGTCCAAGACGCGCTTGTTGGATTTGCCAAAACCCTTCATCAATTGGGAGTCAATGGATTGGGATGGTGGCCACCACTCTTCAACGGTCATGACCCGCGTGCACAGTGCCGGCATCAAGATATTAGTGGCCTTTTCCAAGTCAACATTCGGTGTGACCAGCACTACAACTTCGGGTGGGTAGGTTTGATGGAAGGAAAACTTTTTGCGAAAGGAATACAACATGGTTTGAACTCCCGGCAAAAAGTCGTCTTGATGTAGTAATGTAACTACAGCATCTGGACGAGGTGGAAAATTGGCCACCACTTGCGCTTCCAGCACTTCCCCCTGGTCGCTTTGTTGGACAGCAGTCGCAACTTCCATGTTGTTTTCTATGAAGTTCATCAGTTTGAAGTTGCGAATTGGATTTTGCATCAGTGATCGAATTCCATTTAGTCGAACCAGTCGTTCACGAGTCATTTTCAAACCAATTCAAAAACACTTGACAACCATCAATGCAGTAAATGCTCTTGGAACCAACAAGATGCAAGTAAATGACAAGAACCTACTCAAAATTCTGCTTGCAGGGGCCCTCCTGACTGCAATATCAATCATATTTGTTCCCTTGGACATGGAAAATGACACATTGGCCAATCATGGAATGCAACAACAACTGATATCTCAAGCCGAGGCGGCATTGGACCAACACGACGCCATTCCAGCTGCCAATGCAGAGCTGAAACCACAATCTCTTGACGCGAAAAATGATGAAAAAAAGGATGAAAAGCCGAAGAGAGACGCCACGTATCATCAACCTCCAGTCAAATACCACACTGTCTTTTCCACGGGGTGTTCAACCTTTCAAGATTGGCAGAGTTATGTTTTCTTTTTCCATGCGGTTAAATCTGGTCAAGAGGGCCACATTACACGGATTGCTTCAGGATGTGAAGGCGAAACCAAGGATGAACTAGATAGAATATTCAAGGACGAGATTGCATCTATGGATCCAGAACGATTACATTTGCATCAAACACCTGAGTTTGGCAAGGAAGGTGGACTGAAAAAGGCATTCAAATACTTCAACAAGCCTTTTGGGATGCGCCATTGGTTTGAAAACGTCCTAGGATATCCAGAGAATCATGCTGAACACGATGACTCGATAGTGATCCTGTTGGATCCCGACCAGATTCTATTGCGACCCTTTACGAATGATTTCACGCACAGTTCCGAAACATGGAGATTAAAAGACGAAAGCAAGCACAAACTGAAAGTAGAGCATGGCTCTCCATTTTCACAACAATATGGATATGGACTACAATGGTTGACCAAAGTGAATCAAACCTACGTCTTTGATGGACCAACACCAGTTGCCACCATGACCAGAACTGAAGCTGCCGACTATTACAATGCAATGGGACCACCGTATGTGGCGACCGCCAAGGACATGTACGCCATTGTCAAGCAATGGTCGGACGTTGTTCCGCGAGTGAGAGATGAATACCCGTTCTTGCTGGCAGAAATGTTTGCCTTTAACATTGCTGCCGCCCATTTGGGTCTAAGGCATACACTGGCATTTTCCTTCATGGTTTCGGATGTTGGCACCGGAGGGGAAGGATGGCCGTTGGTGGAAAAGGTGCCCCCCAAGGATGTTTGTCACAATTATCCAAAGTCGGAATACGTAAGTTCCCTTTGCATGAATGAGAACCGGCTTTTGCCGCTTCATGATTGACTTACGCCAAGACTCACTACTATGATCTGCTCACTTTGACAGCCACACGTGATTCACTATTGTCAACGGTATGTACTAGGCAAGTGGTTCATTGGAAAATACCGACTTCGCAAGGACTTTATCTCGTGTGACGCACCTCTGCTGACGGTTCCACCCGACGACATTGCTCTGAGATACAAAAAGGGCGTCTTTCCTGGAAATGGCAAAACCAAGGATTATCAACCACGACACATCCAGGGAAATGCTTTCATGGTCTGCGCCATGATTAGTGCGCTGAATGAAGCAGCGGTGTACTACAAGAACCATCATTGTGACAAAGCCACGGCAAACTACAACTACACATATACCTTTTTCAATGACATGACACTGCCAGAAGATACGGTCTAGGGGCTTGTTTATATTACCTTAGAGGCTTACAAAGTCTGTCGACAGATGATGATGATTGGAGGTGATGGTGATTATGGTGATGGTGATGATGGGCCCTTCTTGAACACTTTTTGAAGCATATCAGTAACTGTGGCGTAGTCTGCAAGAAGGAATTCTTACCATCCAGTCCCGTGATGATGGCACGAGTGACTTGGCCATCGATCCAACTCAAGGAGAGATTCCAAAGCAACTTCCCGTCTCGTAGGTAGATCCCATCATGACCACAAGACCGAGTAGTTAAGCTGATGTTCAGATGCGAATAATAAATATGCCGAGAAAGAAATCGAGCACAAAACATTATAGTTGGATGACAAACAGTGCAGATTTCGTTTTAGTCCAAGCAGTCAAAAACATTTCCCAACCATTTTCGTTTCATTTCATATCCGTGTCAGCATAGTGCCATTGCATTGCGTTGCACTGCATCTGATCCCATCTCATCACAAAATCAATCCCAGGAATCGAGGGACAAGTTATCGGTATCCGATTCCAACGAGAGATGCGAAGAGATGACCGAATGCTATTGCAAATCCTCTTAGTATGGGTCGTCATCACTGTCATATCCGTCGTCTATGTTCCTTGGGCGCTGGAACAAGAAATGATTCCTGACCCTGGACTGGGACAAAAAGCGAAGGCTAATATTGATGACAAAACAATCAATACGTTTGAATCAAAACCCGGGGGTATAATAAGCAATGTGAAGGTGGACCAGGCATCGAAAGGACAGTCTACGTATCACCAGCCTGCCGTCAAGTATCATACTGTTTTCTCGACCGGCTGTTCCCTTTATCAAGATTGGCAGAGCTACGTTTTCTTTTTTCACGCATTGCACTCTGGCCAAGAGGGTCATATCACGAGAATCGCTTCTGGTTGCGAAGGGAAAACAAAGGATGAGCTGGAGCGGGTATTCAACGAGGAAATCGCACCAATGAATCGAGAACGATTGCACTTGCATCAAACGCCAGAATACGGTCATATTCACAAAAGAAAACTTGCATTCAAGTACTTCAACAAACCTTATGGCTTGCTTCATTGGTTCGAGAATGTACTAGGATACCCAGATAACCATGCAGAGCACGATGATTCGATAATAATTTTGATGGATCCCGATCAGATTCTTCTGCGGCCATTTACAAATGATTTTACAAACAGTGCCGAAACTTGGTGGTTGCCAGAAGAAGGGCGACATAAACTGAAAGTGGATCATGGATCACCCTTTGTACAGAATTATGACTACACAGCTGAATGGCGATGGGCTGCCAACCAGACATATGTCTTTCAAGGGCCTACGCCCATCCTAGAGCTGGATGCACAGGAAATACTGGACTACTACAAGGGAATGGGTGTGCCATACGTCGCAACTGTCAAAGACATGTACGCGATTGTCAAGGTGTGGACCGATGTTGTTCCAAGAGTTCGCAATGAGTTTCCATATTTGTTGGCAGAGATGTTTGCCTTCAATGAAGCTGTAGCGCACTTGGGTCTGCGCCCAACGATTGCGACATCTTTCATGGTCTCCGACGTTGGCAAGGCAGGCGAAGGGTGGCCGCTAGTCGACAATGTGGATCCGAAAGATGTTTGTCATAACTTTCCAAAATCTCAATATGTGAGTCAGTACACGTATCCGCCTCTTTCTTTCTTTGCTCAATGTTTCCTCCATGCCTCACCAAATACACCCCGCCTCGCTCGTGCACTGCTTAACTTCATTGGCAGCCGCATGTGATCCATTATTGTCAAGAATACGTAAGTTTCCGGTGTATAGCTGAGTCAAAAGCTTGTTGTAGTCGACAATCCATACTAACAATCGTCCTCATTCTCGTACTCCTTTATTTGCCCGCGACAGGCTCTCGGCAAATGGTTCTTTTCCAAATACTTTTTGCCCAAGGACATCATCTCGTGTAACACGCCATTTATGAAGGTTCCTCCAGGAGATATTGCTCTCCGATACAAACGAGGGATCAATCCGAATGGTTTCTTTATAAAGGGATTGAAACCAAAGCAAGTGATCGAGAATGCATTTACTATCTGTGCTATGGTTAGTGCACTAAATGCTGCTGCACTTTACTACAAAGACAATCACTGCGACAAAGCAACGGCGAACTACAGCTACTCATTCACATACTTTGATGACATGTTCATGGAAGAGGATTAATCTTCGCGGATTGCTCGTGAAACGAAAGCACGCTCCTGGCTGTGGAAAAAGTCTAGACCACAATTGATCAGAGTGACTCCGACAGATACAGTTACCAACCGTCCATTGCTTCCAACTGGGACCCATTTTCATATTGGCTTTTGGTTCAAGATCTCAGAGAAATGCCATGTCGCTCTGGTCAGTTGGTGGTGGAGAGACGCAGTAAACCTAGGACCTACTGCTTCGGAACCAGAGGACTCTAGAATATAATATCATAGAAGCGATCATAGAAGCGAAACACTAATGCTTTACAGCGAATGCAGGTAAACTACCCAATAGCAATAAACTCAGGTTCCACAATACCATACTATGATCAACAAGCCTCAACAAGTCGAACCAGTCAAACATTTTACAGATCAAACAAATAAATATTTCATTCTTATACCGGTACCGTACAGTACCTGGTTCCCTCAGATTGAAGATGCCAACATGCGAGGCAATGACAGGAAACTTCTACAAATCCTGTTACTATGGGCGATTATCACCGCGATTATTGTTGCCTATGTCGAAACATGTGGTATGGAGCAGGATGAATCTGGCAATAGTGGCTTTCATATACAGCTGACCCCACAGGCCTCATCATCTCCAGCATTCCTTCCCGTCGAAAAACAAGAGGCAAAACCTCACCCCCCTCCAACAGAAGCAATCACCATTCACCGTACCGAAACACATAAGACTACGAAGACAACGATATCTACTATCCCAAAGAATGCCTCTCCGAAGAAGGCCCCAAAGAAAGCTGCTCGGACGAGAGACGCCACATATCACCAACCTCCTGTCAAATACCATACTGTATTTTCCACAGGGTGCTCCACTTTCCAAGATTGACAAAGCTATGTTTTCTTCTATCATGCGGTTCAGTCTGGTCAAGAAGGCCATATTACTAGAATTGCTTCTGGCTGTGAAGGCAAGACCAAGACAGAGCTAGAGCAAATTTTCAAAGATGAGATTACACCCATGAATCCAGACCGTCTACACTTGCACCAAACACCAGATTATGGCAACTTGCACAACGGGGAATACGAATATAAATACTTCAACAAGCCATTCGGCTTGCGTCATTGGTTTGAAAACGTACTGGGATACCCCGAGAACCATGCCGAACACGACGATTCCATTGTGATTGTATTGGATCCCGATCAGATCTTGCTACGGCCGTTCACCAATGACTTTTCCAACAGTTCTGAAACATGGAGACTTCCAGAAAAGAGGCGACATAAGCTGAAAGTAGAGCATGGATCCCCATTTGCGCAACAGTACCAGTATGCCTTGGGATGGATGGAGCAGGTTGACCAAAAGTTTGTCTTTCAAGGAGGACCATCACCGGTCCTGAAGCTCGACAAGAAAGAAGCGGATGACTATTACTATGGCATGGGTCCACCATATATTGCAACGGCGAAGGATATGTATGCCATTGTCAAGACATGGTCGGGCATTGTTCCCCGCGTTCACGAAAACTTTCCCGAGTTGATGGCGGAAATGTACGCCTTCAACAGTGCCGCGGCTCACTTGGGATTACGCCACACGATAGCCTGTTCTTTTATGGTTTCCGACATTGCCGCATATGGAGAAGGCTGGCCTTTGTTGGACAAGGTGGAAGCCAAGGATGTTTGCCACAACTATCCACAGTCAGAATACGTAAGTGCTGGGTTGTGTCTATTACCATTGACTCTTTTGGATTCTCCTTGGCCTGTTTAGAAAATTGACATATTTATACAATCTTATTTTCATATACTCACAGTCGATTTCGTTTCTGCAGCCACATGTGATTCATTACTGCCAACGCTATGGGATTGGAAAATGGTTCATGTCCAAGTACAAAGTTCGAAAAGACCACATATCCTGCCAGGCACCACTCTTCAAGAACCCTCCAGCAGACGTGGCAATCAAGTATACCAAAAGCATATATCCGAATAAGGAAGTCAAGAAGATGAACAAGAAAGAGCGAAAGGAGAGCGCCTTTATGGTATGTTCCATGATTAGTGCACTGAACGAAGCGGCAATCTACTACAAGGACAACAATTGTGACAAGGCTACAGCAAATTACAACTACACATTTACATTCTTCAAGGATATGAGAACGGACGAGGACAAGAAACACTGATGCTATTGGAATATTTATTCGATTTCTGGATTGGAGAAGTGTACAAATCATGATTGGTATGTGATCTGTGACTTGGATTATTGAAGAGAATGAATGATTCGTTCATTCTCTGGTCTGAAAAGGATCATTAATTCGATACACTACAGTATGAAGAGCTCATGGCTGCCTCCACTACCTACGCTTGAATATCTCATATCCGGTGGCAAAAACACCTTTGAGAATATCGCGGCGTTCCTGGTTTTCGCTTTTTTTCTCTTCGGTTGCGTTGGACACATAAAAGTGATGAGAAACTGCTTGTCGCTACCCTTTTTTGCTACCATGTCACATACGTGAACCTGTTACACGGCCAAAGACACTCGGAATGCATGCGCCACCTTTTGCAAGTCATTTCGGTTTTTGCACGTGCTACAGAAAAGCGGTACAGTACATTTGTACGACAGTCATCTGTATTGATGAGCGCCCAGTCTGGCCGACTCACGGAGTTGATTGGGTGTCTGTTGCTTGTCTTCTTCAACTAGAATCCATATATACACATACCACGTATGTTTCATGAATGACGTAGATTAGGAATTCAATGCAATATTCGAGTCTGTAGTTTCTATAATGATTTGAACAGAGAGCGCGCTCAGTCGGAACACTCAGTTGAGTAAAGGCCCCTACAGACGTGCGCGCGACAATTGTCTTTACGACCAGTTCTACGTGTTGCCGCAGCTAAAAATCTTTCGAAAAGCGTGGAACAGCTTCGGACCAAGCAAAAAGACCTTGGGGATAAAATTTGGACGTAGAAATGGTACGAAAGACGCCGTAGATGGTACCTGGCACCCACTCGACAAGCATCAACGCAGCCACCATCAAACCTCTCGTCGCAGCGAACTGGATGTCTATTCCAGCGAATTAGCATTCCTTTTAGTTCCATAACCCTCCTCCTCACCATAGTGCTAACGCAAGAAGAAGCTGTCTTTGCTACTCTTGCATAGTGCAGACTCCGGTATACGTATACGCTAAATTCGTCATTCCGTAGAGGTGTGATTGATTTCATTCGTTCTGGTACGAGTTGAAGGCTACCTGTTCTACTGATACTGATACGATACGATGCAATCCGCCGGAGGAGGCAACATGAATGCCGCGCAGCTTGCCCGCTTGCAGCAACAGCTTGCTCAATATGGTAGGGGACAACCTGGGCAGCAACAGCAAATGATGAACGCCAATGCAATGGGCGGAATGGGAAATCAACAGCAACAATTGCAACAAGCTTACATGCAGCAACAGCAGTTGCAACAGGGCGGCCAGCAAGCAATGAATGCCAGACGTAACTCGCTGCTTGGAGGCAATGCTATGGCTATGTTGCAGCAACAACAACAAGGAAATAACCAAATGGCAAACGCAAACCTCAATTACTTGAATGCTTTCAATCAAGGAGGTCCCAGCGGTGCGATGGATGCCTCCAGTGCCAGCGGCGCACAATTGGCTGCTCTAGCGGGCATTAACATGGGCGGCAATAACAACATGCAAAACCAAGCTGCCAATAACATGCTCTTGGGTAATCGTCAAACGAGCCAGACTCAAATGCCAGCTCAACAGATGCAACAAGCTGTGGGTCAATTGGGGGGTCAATCCAACAATGCTGCCCTCTTGCAACAGCAGATTGCCCAACTTCAGAGACAACTCGAACAGCAGCAGCAAACTCAGAATCAAAATCAAGGTATGGGTATGTCTGGCGCCATGGGGGGAATGCCTGGCCAACGTCGAGCGTCCTCCTCTTCTGGTCAGAACTTTGGGGGTATGCCATCGCAACAACAGCAGCTACTTCAGCAAATGCAACAGATGGGCGGCGGCAATTCTGATCAGTTCTCTTCTATGGCTGCCATGATGCAAGGTCAGAACCCTTCTCAATTGCAGCAACCACAGCAGACGCGGAATCAGATGGGTGGCAGCCTTGGAGGTCTAAACAACCAACAAGATTTGCTTCTTCAGCAACAGCGGCTGATGGGGGGAAACGCAGGCATGAACCAGAACAGCATGCAAAACGATATGTTCTCCAACAACCAAAGTCAAAGTGGCTCCAATTCCAATGATCTGATGGGGGGAAGAGGACGATCGTCTCAAATGATGCAAATGGAACAGATGAATCAAAGCATGAATTCGCAATCTCAGAACAACAACACCAGTTCCGCCAACAACAATAACAACGCTTTGGGCAATTCATTCAATAACTTTGACATGGACGGCTCTACCAACTCTCGGGCTTCCCGCCAACAAGTCAACAACCCGGGAATCACTCCGCTGGATTTGGGGGCGGGCCAAGTAGTAGGCGACACTACCAACAAGGACGATGCAGCCAATCAAAAATCGTTCTTGGATGGAAGCTTTGCAGGGGGTTGGCAGTCGAATGCCGATTTGCCGGATCGAAGAAGAATAATATTCAGCATTTTGGAAGTCATTCGACAGATGCGTCCAGATACCAACAAGATTTCGCAAAAGTGAGTACTGATTTGAATTTATTATCTGTCTACTTGTTTGTCGTTGTTGTTGTGCAGCCAGCTCTAACTGAGGAACGATTGTACTATCATTTAGGTTGCCACACATGGCCAAGAGTCTCGAAGAACATCTGTACCGTTCGGCGCAGACGAAAGAAGAGTACTTGGATCCATCTACTCTGAAGAAACGGTTGCAGTTGATTGCACACGGTCTCGAGCTTCACCGATCGACTACTTCTACCGATCCAAGTGGCAATGACCAAAGTGGCAACAACAGTGTTGGGAACATTCCATCGGAATCCCAACAACTTCAACAATATCTTCAAATGCAAGGTGGAAACGTTAACCTAAATCAAGGTAACGCGATCTCAAGAAACTCAATAACGTCTCTGGGTGGCATGGCCGGCAGCGGTAACAACCGTGGAGCCATGGATGACATGTCCATGCAAGGCAGTCTTGGCGGCAATAACTTTGGTAATTCAGGAACATCCGGTCTGGAGGATCTCAACGATCCAGTTGCGCAGCAGAAGAAGAAGGTAATTCGACAACAGCAACAACGCCTATTGCTTCTGCGGCATGCTTCCAAATGTAAAGAGGGTCAAAACTGCAAAACCAAATTCTGTCCGCAAATGATGGCTCTTTGGAAACATATGAAGAAGTGCCGGGACAAGAATTGCAAAACTCCTCACTGTCTCAGCAGTCGATGTGTTCTAAACCACTATCGTATCTGTAAGAGCCAAGGTCGAACTGCGACCTGTGAAGTCTGTGGGCCTGTTATGGAGCAAATCAAGCTGAGTGAGCAACTCGACAGTAGCGATCCCCTGGCTGCAGTTCCACAGTCGGACATGCCGCAGCTTCAACAGCAGATCTCTAACTTTGGTAATCCTCAACAGCAGCAGCAACAGCAACAAAACCAGCTGAACACCAATGCACAGGCTAGACAACAACAGGCCATGCAGCAATTGTATCAAAAGCAGCAACAAGCGATTCAGCAAAACCAGAACCAGCAGATGCCGAATATGATGGGCATGCAAAATAACATGCAGGGTAACCTTCAGAACGATATGTCAAACAATATGCAAAATAACATGCAAGGCGGCAACAACCTAGATGTTCTCAACTCTCTTGGTGGTGGTGTCGGTCTTGGGTCGAACGACCTTCAAGGTTCGCAGAATTCCAACCAGCTCCAACAGCAGCAGCAAAACCAAGGAAATCAACAGCAGAATCACCAGAACTTGCAGGCAAAGCTTCAGCAGCAACAGCACGTCTTGCGTCAGCTCCAAAAGCAGCAATCCAATTTGCTGGAGCAACAACAGCAATTGCAAGAGCAACAACAGCTTCTCAAGGACCCAGGAACCCAACAAGGTCAGCAACTCCAGCAGCAAAGTCTCTTGCTTCAGCAGCTACAACGTCGCTGCCAACAAGAGCAGGCAATCATTCAACAGGAGTTACTGGTTACGATGAAGGGAATGCAAGGTGGACAACTAGGCAACCAAGCCCTCGGAAATACCAGCCAGAATTCGCAAATGCTCAACAACAACAGCCAGAACTCTCACCACTCTCAACAGAACCAAATGGGAATGCACGGCGGCAACTCGCAGAACAATCAAATGAATGTTCAAGCGCAAATGCAAGCACTCAGCCAAAGTCATTTGGACGCTGTCAACACCAACAACAAGAGCAACGATGACATGAATCAAATGGACAGCCTACAGAACCAGTTGAACTCTGATCCACTGAAGAATGACTTGTTGAACCAGCCTCTTCCTGATGATTCTCCAGGTGGAGACGACAAGGACGATGATTTGGACCAAGATCTTGACAATGACAAATCCAATGATGTCAACGGCTCCAGCTCCTCGGATCCTTTCGATTCCATGGGACCTCTTGTCACAGACACTTCTGAAAACAAGGACGATACGTCTGGTGCACCGAAAGTTCGGTCAGCTCCAATTCTTTCAAGGGGGAAAGGTGCCCGCGGCAGGGGTGGAAAGGGAAAGCGTCTGCGCGACATTGCCGACGACTTGCTCCCTGCCGAAAGCGCAGCAGTGGTCAGGGCTGGTGGTTCCATCGCCATACCGAGTGATTCATCGAGGAAACGATCTGCTGATGATAGTGGAGAGGATGGTCCCTCTTCTAAATCCCAAAGGACTGATGACGACAAGGATGATTTAAATCCTTCTCTGACGTCTTCTATGCCCAAGGGAGACGTGGAACAGAATCTCATGATGCTCCACAAAGGTCTACATTTGACATCAAGAACAATCACGCACAAGTGCTTGCCAATCGTGCAACAGCTGATTGACGATCCATACGGTTGGGTCTTCAGAGATGCCGTGGATCCAGTTGTGTTTGGTCTTCCAGACTATTTTGAAGTCGTAAAAAATCCCATGCACTTGCTTCTTGTTAAGAAAAAGTTGGAGAATGCCGTCTACACCGATATGGCTTCGTTCGAACGCGATGTTAAGTTGGTTTTTGAAAATGCGATACTTTACAACGGCGAGGATAGCGAAGTTGGCCAACTTGCACACACAATGATGGGAGTCTTTGAAAAAGAATATCAAAAAGTGTGCGAAGGTATGTGAGTCATAGACGCATACTCGCAACATACTAGCTATTCGGTTTTCTCACTTTAGTCGTATACTATGTTTGTAGGTGTAAAGACTGATCTTCAGCCATCAAAGCCACCCAGGCCAGCACCAGTAGACAACGTTCCATGCAAGATTTGTCGATTGCAACGTCGTCAGCTGGAACCCCCCGCGTTGTACTGTGCATCGCTGTCTTGTGAAGCACCAAGGATCAAGCGAAATGCGACTTACTATACCTATGGATCGAACCAAAACTGCTGGTGTGAGAAGTGCTATGATCAATTGAACCCGAAGAAACTCATCACGCTCGATGATGGCAACGATATCAGGAAGTCTCGACTCCTGAAGTCGAAGAACGATTCTCTTCCTGAAGAATGTTGGATCGAGTGCGACGACTGCCATTGTCGAGTCCATCAAATCTGCGCACTCTACAACGGACGAATTGCCAAGCCCAACTCTGTCTTCCGCTGTTCGGAATGTGAAAAGAAGCGAAATATCAATGTTCCAAAGAATATGGGTAGTCGTGCTGCCGACCTTCCCAAATGTAGCATGAGCGTATTCATTGAGCAAGGTTTGCGACGTACGTTGACAGCTGCCTACGAGAAGGCAGCAGGGAAGAACAACTGCTCGCTTGAACAAATTGATAAGGTTGAAGGACTCACCGTCCGTGTCATGTCCCATATCGATAAGAAACATCTCATTCGAGAAGAGGTAAGTGATATGTTAGCAGTGAATCAATCAATCAATCAATCAATTCTTGGAATCTCACATCATCTGGCTGCTTTCACTGCAGATGTTCAAGCGATATGAACGAATTGGTTGCCCATCTGACTACCCTGTTCATACGAAATGCGTAGGGCTGTTTCAGTCATTTGATGGGATTGATGTTCTTTTGTTCGCGATGTATGTCTATGAATATGGGGACGACTGTCCTGCGCCAAACCGAAGAAGAGTGTACGTCTCCTACCTCGATTCTGTGCAGTATTTCCAACCGAGTCAATATCGCAGCATCGTGTATCAATCAGTGATTGTAGAATACCTTCGTTTCGTGAAGAAGAGGGGTTTCCACACAGCCCACATATGGAGTTGTCCTCCTGCCGGGGGGGATGAGTACGTTTTCTTTTGTCATCCTTCGCACCAAAAGATTCCACAAGAAGAAAAGCTGAGGAATTGGTACTATCAAACACTCGATACTGCCAAAGCTGAAGGAATTGTCGTCGAGACCACAGATTACTACGACGAATACTTCAACAACAACGGCAAAGATGCACCAATCGGTTATGCCCCGAATCCATTATCTCTGCCATATTTTGAAGGTGACTACGTTCCTGGTGAGATTGAAAAAATTCTGACTCAAATGACAAAAGAAGAAAGGAAACCAGTTATGCCTCCGCCTAAGGCAGCGCAAAAAAGATCTGGATCAAAGCGCGGAACTCGTTCAAATCCAGGGTCTCTTGTGAACCAGTATCCAGACAAGGTGATGCTTCGGCTTGGTCAGACCATTTACAACATGAAAGAAAACTTCATTATCGCGAGACTGCGGAACAAACGCTTTGTTGCTGCATCTGACCGTGGTGAAGATCTATCCAACTGGCCTGACGATGATGCGTTCAAGCCTCCAGGCAAAGATTCGCATTTCAATGGGATGCTGATGGGAGATATGTCAGACGACGAAAGTGACGACGAGCGCCAAGCTCTCCTCGCTCAAAAACTTGCCGAGGCTGTGCGGTCATCTGGCAAGATTGGTTCGACTGTCGAAGCTGACGACCAATTTGAAAGCGAACTGTTTGAAAACCGGCAACTCTTTCTGAACTACTGTCAAACGAATCACTTTCAGTTTGACCAGCTCAGGAGAGCAAAGCACACAAGTATGATGGTTCTGTACCAGCTCCACAACCCCTTGGCCCCGAAATTTGTTCCACGATGCGGGGTATGCTATCGTGACATTGCAAATGGTGCCCGATATCACTGCAACAATTGCGCAAGCTACGATCTTTGCCAAGAGTGTTATGGCCCCGTCACGAATGGATCCTGGGCGAATCGTGGATCTCGATTCTCCCACGACAGTAACCATACATTCTCCAAGGTTTTGACTGAGAATACTGGGATTTCACAAGAACAGCAAGCCGAGAGAACCAAGGCCATGAAGCCTTTCTTGTTGATTCTTGTCCATGCGGCAGGCTGCCCCGGTTCTCCCCAATGCAATTTATTGAATTGTCGCAAGATGAAGCAGCTCTTTGCGCATGTGAAGACTTGCGATCAGACCCACAAGAAGGGTTGCAAAATCTGTATCCGAATGCTGGCCCTCATTCTGGTTCACGCCCGATCTTGTACGATCCGAGGAAGCTGTCCTCTTCCCTTTTGCGATCGTATCCGTGAACGCAACGAGCGTTTGCGCCGTCAACAGCAACTTATGGATGATCGACGTCGTAATGCCCAAAACGAATTCTATCAACAAGAGGATTGACACCAAGCAACAGAAGGCTACCAGAAAGTAAAACTAAGATGTATACTAATATTATTGGCTATATTATATATTATTAAGCAACAATACTAATAATTACATGAACGACGATATGTCTTAATGATGATGACGATGCTGATTATCATGTGTGGAATCCAGTAAGTAGGGTATTCATGCAATCTTGCAATATGTTAAGCTACACATCCATTACTTTAGCGGTAGGTAGGTTCTTTTAAAATATTGTTTATCGCTCTAGTCGTCTTTAATCCACCTTTTTGGCCACGGCCGCCGCCGAGTGCACCAACAATCCCGTAAAGAGACCGACCGTGACAAAGGCTCCCCCTACAATGCTCATGAGCGAACTTAGGAATGCAAACACATTGTCTCGACCAATCTCATGTCGAACTGCCAGTGGCGTCAAGTCATAACTCATGGCCAATCCTGGAGAAAGAGCCACTCCTTGACTGACCATGTGTTCGGGTTGTACCGTATGGGAGACCACAGATTGTTGATAGGTCAATTTGCTGGACATCCAACCACTGTAATAGGTGGGTACCAGCTTGACTTGAATGTTTTCCAGTGCAATTCCACCCATTTTGTTTTGTATGACATGCGCCCGATGTTGCAAGGGATCGTCCTTGGCGAGTGGAAATCGTTTGCCAAATTGGACTGAATGAATGTAATGGGACATGTTGTGTGAATTTTGGGTTGCTTCATTGCCTCCCCCAGGCGATGTCAAGATGCCCATTTGGGCTTCCATCATGAGTTGTTGGACCGTTCGGGACCATGCTAATTGGGACATGGTAATGGAAACGTGTCCTGCCACCGTGGGTACTCTTAAGGTAGCCTTGATGGTGCATCCCGTCTTGTGTTTGTGGGGATCGAAACCAGCCTCTTTGAGATCCGCCGCATTGGGTCGTACTTTGGCCATTCGCCGTCTTCCCTTTTGTGATTTGAAATCAAAATCAGAATCCTTGAGGGGAGCCCCGTTGATTCTAATTTCCATATTGTTGCATTCCATGTGAGGAAAGGTAATGTGCAGTTTCATGGTCATTTTTGATTTGATGTCGTACAACCGAGTAGTAAAAGGATCAAAGGTCCCCAGCATTGGAATAGGTTTGGATTCTGACAAGTAGAGTGAATGTTGCGTCGTTCCCATGATTTGTGTGTACATTTGAGCAAGAAACAAGAGACCCGCGACTGATCCTGCAATCAACGTGATGAGACCACCCGTTGCCGACTTGGTGCGAAGATCATGTCTCGGTTTGACAAAGAAATCGGCATTCCGTATCATCCTTGTTGTGTGTGTGGTTGTTTGTTTATAATAACGATATGAAATGTAGCTTTATTGATAGCTGAATTGATAGCTGTAGCAGCGCTAATGATGATGATGAGTTGGATCGATACTCTATACTATATATCTCCAAGGTTATCTCATCTCCTTCGTTTTTCTCATTGGAATGAGGAAGAAGTTTTTGGTTTCAGAAAGACCCGGATCTATGTAAACTATGCCGGTAGACGGAAGAACAGCGCGCCGGCCGAACTGAGACGTTGGTTTTCTTTTTGAGTTTTCACAAATGCTGCGAAGTTGAATTATCGACAGTATCATAGATTATTTACTGACAGTAGTGAATGATACAAAAGGAAAAAAAGAATTATTGCAAAGAGACAGATACAGTAGCAACAGAATGGTTGCCTTTCGATAGTCCTTGATTGTTTGTAACTACGGAAAAAGGAAAAAGGATTAGGATAAGGATACGAACAGAAGCAACGACAATTGAATCAATCAGGCGATACACAACTTGTCTACAGCACTCGTATCTACATACATAGGTACAACAATGCCACCCGCCAAACCAGATCCACCCAAACTCAGTTTGACGGCAGTCCGACAACGGTCGCTCAGCGTTCCCGGATGTCGGGAACTTCCAAGTACCAATCCCACCACGATACTGAGTTTTGTCGTCGGTTTGGACGAACAAGACAGCAAACAATTGGCTAGAATCAACGTTTTTTTGCAATCTGGCACGATAGGCACATCACGCGTCCTCAATGGAACCGTCCGACAAACCTTTCGACGGAATGTGACTTCTTTGGATACGGTGGGACGCTTGCTTCGACATCCCGAAAAGCTAGTGGAAATTGACAATGCCTTGGTCAGCTTTGATGATAACAAGAATGCTACTGTACATCAGCAACAGCAATCATTGAAAAAGCAAGCGGAATTGGCCGAGGTTGGCCATTGCATTCTACAAGTGGAAAAGGAGAAATTGGAAAAACATTTGAGTGATTTGATGGTGGCTGCGCATGACAATAACATCAACACTGACAAGAAGAATGCGTTTGCGAAACAAAAACCACAACAACCACAACAAAAGAACAAGGAACCACCAGCACCAACAAAACCAGTCAAGCGGAACGCCCACAGCAACAATGAAACGGATGATGACAGTGACGACGGATCCCACTCTTCCGGCGAGTCGTCCTTGGATGGACTAGAGTTTCAATTTAGTCTCCCAGAAGATGTCATGACACAAGTAGATCAATGTCTGAGGGACATTCAAAAGTTGGACAAGATTGTCACGGGAGTTGCCACCAATGGAGAAGGTACGGTCTTTTTGTATGGCAATGGAGGTGTCGCCTATACTCCCAGTATTCCAAAAGCCTTATATCAAAAGTTACGGAATTTGCGGAATACCAACCTAAAGGCACGTCCCAGTTATATTGCCGTGGGTACCAAAAACCGATATTTTGTGGCATTTCATGATGGCACGGCGGATTGGAAGGCCCCCAAGGCCTTGGACAGGATTTTGAAAAAGTGCATTTCCGACCAAAAAATGCCACGGTCGGTTTCGTTTGGAAAGACATTTGATACCTTTTTTGTAGTATTTCATGACGGTTCTTGGCAATATCAAGGACGAGGGATTCCTGAATCCTTGGAAGAAAAGCTAGAAGAACGGGATTGTCGTGCCGATCTAATGACTGTCAATCTGGGTCCGGAAGGAGAATGGTTCCTCAAGGCCAAGAATGGAAGAATGTGGTGGAATGAAATATCCGAGGAACTGGATGGAGAAATCAATGATATTTTGGATTCGGGAAAATATCTACACAATATGGACTTTGGAGACGGCGGAAGCTTCTTTTTGAGCTTTCATGAATAGAAAATCAATCGTACAGTGTTATATGGTGATGGTGCTCTTTGTATTCATGAAATATAATGAACAAAAAGTTATTATTATGCTACATAAGGTGACCTAAGACTGTTTTTGTCTCTTGTCCGCGGTTGTACTTTCCTCGCCTTTGTCATCGGCTGCAGCTCGCTTCTTGTTGGAAGCATCCTTGTCTTGCAACATTTGCGCTTTTCTAGATTGGAAATTTGCATAATCGGATTGCGCCTTGGTGGCATCGGCGCCGACCGAACGCAATCGGGCCATGACAGTGTTCAAGTCTTCCTTGGTTCCACTCACTTCGGATTTGACAAGCTCCAATCGACGCTTGTAAAGACCATCCAGTTTTTTCAATGTTTGTCGGAGTTTCAAAGTGCACTTTTTGACATTCAATTTGGCCTTTGCAAGTTCCACTGTGCGTTGAGACTTTGCTGCTGCTGCTCGTTCTTCAGGAGTCTGGTCAGAATCATCATTGTCCTTTTTGTCCGAATTATCATCCTTGTCCTTTTTGTCAGAATCATCATTGTCCTTTTTGTCAGAATTATCATCCTTGTCCTTTTTCTTCGAAACATCATTGTCCTTTTCTTCTCCAGTCTTGTCGGAATCATCCTTGTCCTTTTTCTTGTAATCATCATTGTCCTCCTTTTCCAACGTTGCCACAGTCTCCTTGTTTGACTCGAGTTCCCTTTCAGCCTCTTTCAGGGAAGCCTCTGCTGATTCCAGCTCTTCATACACTTTTTCGCCAGCTTTCTGAGAGAGCACCGTCTCTTGCCGTTTGTCAGAAAATTGACGAAAGGAGAGCAAGTCTTCTCTCGTACTTTGCAACTACCGTAGTATTAATAGTAGAAGTAGTGCACAAGAACAAAAGCAATCGTAAGTGAAAGGAGAAAGTCATCGCTAGCAGAGCAACAACAATAATACTCACCTCTTTTGCTGTAGTCTCGTAATTGGATTCTGCTTCCTCGAGTCGTTTCTGCAAGTCCTCAATAGTTTCGAATCGTCCCTTTTCGATCCGACTGTTGAGCTTGTCGATAATGTCCTTATACCCATGAACTGTTTCTGTGTGACGAGACTCCGCAAATTCCACTTGTTTCTGCAAATCTTCAATTGTCGATGCTGTATCCTTTACCTCTTGCTGTGAAGCCGCAAGACGAGCATCAAGTCGGCCAATCTCCCGTTTGGACGCTTCGTCTTGTTCTCGCATTGCTTTCATCAGTTCCTCCCACTTTGCCCGCTCTTTTTCAAACTCTGTATTCTGTTTGTCCAAGTCTTCATGTAGCCGAACGATCTTTTCTTCCATTCCGGCTTGTGATGATTTGGTAGTGTCCAGCTGACTCAAGATCTCCTTTCTATGATCCTCGAGCTTGCTGTATGCCTCTTCCAGAATCAGCCGCATGCTCTTTTCTCTCAGGGCTTCTGCTTTGGCATGTTCTGTCTTGGAACTTAGATCTTTCAAAAGAGCTCGTTGATTTTGAAGTTCTTCTTGTAAGTGCAGTTTCTCTTGATAGCTCGCCTGTTTTTGTTTGCTCAACTCGTCTACGACGTCACTTTCAGCGATGGCAGCAGCATTCTTCTGGAGAATCTCCCGTACGGCTGCAATGCTTGACTTTAGACCATATTTATCAGTAACTGGTTCACTCTGTCTCGGTCGAGAAGCCTCTGCACTCATCACGAAGATCAGACAGACTTGGTTTGAGACGAGATGGCTGTGATTGGATTGTTGGGAGTTGGTACTGTGTATGTTGATGTTCAAACAATTTTTGATTCAATTGACTGGTTCGACTAAACTTTCATTCTATAAAAAATAGTTCCATATCGTTTGCCTAGAATGAACCGTAACCAGAGCCATCACTATCACCTTCCTCATTGACTTTAGCTCGCTTTGCAGTTGGAGCTTCGTTCTGCTCGCCATCATTTGAGTTGCCATCACGAACTTCTTGAACTTCTGCCTCCTCCTCGTCTTCCACTCTTCGTGCTGCACTTGTCTCTGGCGGTTGAACCTCCACTTTATTCGAAGGGGCAGTTCCATTCTCGTTGTCAACAGCAAACGTCACAGACTTCACAGAGCCTTCACCATCACTGTCATCGTCAATTTTCGCGCGCTTTGCGGTGGGGGCCAATTGGTCCTGCCCTCCTTCGTTTGTGTCGACAGCATGATGGGATTCTTCCTCGTCAACTTTCAGCGGCCGTTTCGCTACGTTAGTATCTGATGGTTGGACCTCTTCAATATCCGAAGAGGCACCTTCCTTGGATTCGTCATCGCGGTCTTGAACTTCCTCATCCTCTACCAGCGGCCGTTGCGCTGGACTCCTGCTTTGTGGTTGGACCTCTTCAATATCTGAAGAGGTATCTTCCTTGGAGTTGCCACCGTCTCGAACTTCCTCATCCTCTGACAGTGGCCGCTGCACCGGACCTCTGCTTTGTGGCTGGACCTCCACAATATCGGAATCATCAGATTCATATTCAGTTTGTGACGCAATCGGTTGTCCTTGTTCAGTTGTTTCCATCTCGTTTTCATTCTGCAACCTGCCGGGTTGGTCTTGTACAGTCGATTCCACTTCATCTTCGTGTTCGTCTCGGCTATCATAGGACTGTTGGTCGTCGTCGTCGTCAGCAAGCGTTCGCTTGGATTTCGTCTCGTATTCCATACCGTCCAATTGCTCTTCCAACTATGTCACACGGATATGATTAGTACCAATCACACGGTACGATGGATACGACAAACTCACAGAGCGAGCACTTACCTCGGCACACCTCTTCTCTTGGATTTCATAGTCCTCTTTGAGATCCATCAATTCGCCTCGAGACTCGTGCCACTTTTCCTGGCTGATAAAACAAGAAAGATATTTTTATATTGATATGAGCAACATGGTTATCTGACACACAAACACGTGCTCATTGAAATCTTACAGTTCTTTCAACTCTCGTTTCAGCCCGTCTGTTTCGTCTTGACTATCAGCAACTATTGATTGCATATTCTCAAGAGCAACACCAATCTTGGATACATTTGACTCAAGATTCAGATCGACTTCGTCATCATCACTGTTGTCGTCATCGCCGCCGTCCTCCTTATCGCCAAGAGTCTCTTTGATCACAGCGAGGAATGAGGCAAGTGATTTGGCGCTATTGCTGTTTTCTTCTTCCGCCTTTTCCAATTTGGATTTTGTTTCTTTTAGCTGCGGATACACGGAATTGAGTTGCTGCTAACAAAAGACTACAGAAATGTTGCACATGATACTCACCTCTTGATTCAGTGTTGCCTTCGTGTCCTCCAACCTCTTTTCAACGGTTTCTCGCTTTTGAACTTCTTGTTTGTACTGTTCTTCACTCGCCGCTTGCTTTTCTACCATTTCTTTTTTCAAAGCTTCGTTCTCAGCTTCTTTCTTCTTCATCTCTTCGTTGAGTTCGTCCAGTTCCTTTTGGATTGCTTTCGCCCTGCGGTGATCGTTCTTGAAGTCTTCATTTTCCTTCTGATAATACGCATTGCGGGCATTGAGTGTTTCAATCTTTGCATGATATTGCGAATTTTGAACTTCCAGCTTTTGCTTTTCTTCGTTCCACTTCTTTTCCTTGTTTTGCGAAAGCTTCTTCTCCAAATCCACGGCCTCTTCGGAACGATGCAATTTCTCTACCGCAGTGTCTCTTGATTTGGTCAGGGCTTCAATTTGCCCCATTAGTTCCTTATTGTACTTGGAAAGCGCGTCGTAACTTGCCTCCTGTTTCGATCGAATAAACTTTTCTTCCTTCAGATGGTCATCTAGCTCTTGCATTCGATCCTTGGCCCATTGCGGAACATTGCTTTCGCCGTCTACGTTGAGGAGATTTCTCAACTTGGCCAAACCTGACTTGAGATCTATTGCCTTGTCGACGAGGCTCCTATCTAGTGTCGCTTCCATTCCATCGGCCATTCTTAGACATGAAAATTGAATTTCCGCTGTGCTGTGGGCTGTGGGATGTGGTAAATTATCTATGACAACGGGTGAAACAGTTTGGTTGATGTTGAACATCTGACGGTTGGGTGTGTTTTCCTTCGTTTGGTGTGATTTCAATATGCGATCGGATTAGTCGACTACCTAAGGACGGGAAGTGTGTGCTTATCTCCAACTGCCTCGATGTAGGACGAGAGGATGGTCTTTTAGTCTTGAGCACTACTTCAATAAAAGCTACGGTCGCTAGCTGTTACCAGGAAAAACATACAGCGTATGGGTAGCCATACAGCTTTAGATGCAATTTAAAAGTCCAATAGAATATAGTTGGAGAGTTCATGATGATTCTCTTAGATTTGTTATGATTGTCTCGTATAGGTGACATCGTAAAATCGAACATCAATCGGTCGTCCACGTGTCATTTGCCACATTTGATAGGCCACAGGATCGTCTTGACTGGGTAGCAAAAAGGTGGCCGTCCGCTGCCGGCACTTAATAGTCTGAACTTGACCATTGATTAATGGGCCGGGAGTGTAAAGAGATACAGTCTCAATTTCCTTGAGCAATGTGGGGACCCCACCCTTATTGGTTCCAGCGGTTGGGATTCCAGCCTGCGGTTTGTTTTGATTGGCAGGTGCCACAATCTGTCGGACTACTTCACTACAATCAAAGGTTTTCTCATTGTTTTCTTGTCGCCGAGCAAGGGCAATGATATCGACAGTAAGTAGATTGGGAGATCCAGCTGGTGCCAACAAGCAACAAAACTTGTTGGGAGTGGCCAATGGGACGTCCACGACACTGTTGGCTCCCATTGTGGCCTTGGCAATCTCACGGACATTGAATTCACGATCGGCAATTGCAGCATCCCGGTCGGATGATGTCACAAAGCGAGCTCGATACTTTAAGGCATTGGTTTCTCCAATTTCGTTCTTGGCTGCCGCATAGGTTCGATTGCCACCAAAGAGAGGAATCCCACAGGGCGCTTCGACATTGGTGCCCACTGATGAAGTACCCCAGACACCAGCAAAGTACGATGGGTAATAAATATCAGGAATCTCTAGTCCATAAGTTGGTGGACTAAGCAAGTCCTCCATCACACGACTCTCCAGCAGTCCACTTTCCAGTTCGACTGACGATGCCGATGAGCCAGGAAATATGGAAGAGTCAGAGGCCGCAAAAGCTACCTCGCTTTGGGGTGTACAGATTGTAGAAGTAAGAGCCCCGCCACCAAGAAGCACTGATTGCTTCAGAAATTGACGACGCGATGCAGCCGCTGACTCCTCCATATAATCCCCAGCAAAGCTTATTCGGTCGTCAACGCAAGCCTTTGGCGGTGAAAAAGATGAAGCCAATTCTCGAAAGGAGCTTGGCTGCTGCTGAAACGCAGCGACAAAGGAACAACCGTCATTGATAATGAATGAGACAACTAGTGATAAGAGTAACAATGGTTGGAGTTTTAGTGGCTTCATCTCAACGATGAGTTTGGTTCGGTTGGTGTCAGAGAGATGACGATCGAACATCATTTGATTGTTGGATGAATGACGAAGACTCGTGACTAATCTTCTTCTGAACTGATCATGATTAACTAAAGTCGAATCGGTCGACTCGTTTTTCGCGTTGAAAAACTCAAACCGAAAAAGGAGTAACATAACAATACAGTACAATAACTCTGGTTCGAATGCCAAGTCAAGGGATGGGTAAAAGAACCATAGCATCACCACCACCACCAATTCCACGACTTCCATTCATGCCTTCAAACATGGTTGAAGTTATTTTGCCGTCACATAAACAACAGAACAATCGCAGTGCCATAGATCAGTTGCGATCCTGTTACCTCAAATACTCGAGCTTGGTTTCCCTTATGGTCATCCTCGTTATATTTCTACTGTTAGACTGGCCGAAAAGCTCCAGACACACTCTTACTGTGCAAACAGAATCGTATTCGAAGATTGCGATTCCTATCCACGAAGTGATTGATGAAATTGACGTCTTATGGGCAGCCCCAACCAAACGGGAATCTAATAAATCTTCTCCCTGCGGAATCCTCTTTGTGGCTCATGGTTGCAATCACGCCCATACCGATTGGTTTGTGAAATGTCCACAAGGATGTTTGGGGCTACCAGAAGAAGTTGCTATTGTGGATTTAGCATTGGAACGAAATCTAGTGGTCGTGGCTGTCTCGTCAGAGAATCGGGATTTCAAATGTTGGCTTCCAGAAGTAGACGGGCCAAGGGTGGCTAGTGTATTACAGAAAATTTCGGAAAAGTATGCTCCTGCTTCATCTCTATTGCCCATTTGGGCGTTCGGTGCGAGTTCTGGAGGCGCTCTTGTCAGTGTCTTAGGAAATTACATAAAGTTACAAGGCTACTTGTCCCAGATCATGGCGAGACCACCAGAACAAACAATACCCGAAAGTTGCATTGTATACCTGACCATGGAACACGACTCGATGACGCGTTCCATGGCGAAACAAATCCTTGCAAGTCGAATCACTGACGGAAGGAATGCCCAGCACATTCGGCTGCCACCTCTTGCGATTTCCTCACCCGATTTCTTTTCCAAACGCATCGGCTCAGTGTCAAATTCCAATTCCGAATCAATGGTCCAGAGCCTTCAACAAGGAGGATTTTTGGATTCCCAAGGCTATTTGAAGGACGATCCTCGGGGATCTGATTGGAGGTCGGCAGTCCAGCCCTTTGCTGAAAGCGACACTCTGATGGCAGACCAATCGGCAATTTCCGAAGTCATGAATGCGGCCTACAGCATGCATGAAATGTCGCGCGAAGGTGTTGCCAAAGGATTGGATTTTTGCATGTCCGTACTACCATCTTCTTCTTCGGCATGTGGATAGGACAGTGAGCTTAATGGTTGACTACGAAATTGGGATCTCAGCAAAGCTCTGAAGAAAGGAGACAAAGGCTTCTTCAATCTTGAAACCAATGCCAGTTCCAGCTACGAGTGCAATCCAGTTGATTTCTTTTGCCGTTTCCTCCCGCGATTGACGAGAATCCAAAATGGCTTGAAACGGCCAAAAGGAAGTTTCGCGAAAGAACCCCTGCAGCGATTCATCTGGATCAAAGACTGTTCCCACGGAACCTTCTTCTTTAGTGACTCGCAAATCTTGAGCAGCACAACCAGCAATGGCGTATACTGACAAGATTCCAAACAAGAGAAAATCCCGCAACTGGCCACCCATAATCATGGCAGTTGTCAAACCCCATGGTACTACTGGAAGAATGAGAGGGTGCCGCGTGATGCGAGTGAGTCCATAGGCCTGGAGTTTTTTGGAGTCATTTCTTCGGATACCATTGTTGTTAGTCGTAACACCAATTGCGTCATTCCCATTTCCGTTACTGTCACTACCTTGTTCGTAGACGGGTACAAGTGACAGTGGAGATGGATTGATGAGCGAGGCAATGGAAATGCCGCCCGAAAGTGATGCCACTGCATAGTATACTGCAACTTTGTCAAAAGTAGGAATCATAGCTGCCGCAATGATATCGTCCGACAAGGAATGCAAATAGGCAGCAAATCCCATTCCCAAGGTTGTAAAGGACACGGTTGTGTACAAGATTCGGTACAATTGACGACCGGCAATTTCTTGGGTAGGAAAGATTTCTTGTCCCGCCTCATCTCCTGGCCAAAAGTCGGGCAATTTTGTTCCAGTACCCACCCATCCTTGCGCAAACTTGCCAATGCGGTCAATCAAATCTCGCCGAATGGCCGACATACCAATGTGAGAGGAGGCAAAGGCAAAGGTGTAGGCAGCAATTTCTGTCTCGTGAGAAGAGTAGTAATAGCATGTCTGACGAGGGTATGATCGTTTGGTGTATGCAGGATTAGACCATGATGATGCCGTAGATTGTGTTGTGGAACGAGAATGAGCGAATGATGACGATGCTGATGATGGGAATCCAAAGACGACACAGCATTGACGATGAAGTATGCCGACATTCACCAGGATCATCACCACCAACAATTGCTGGAAGGCCTTGAAGAATCTTGCCATGATGCTCGGGTTGCTTGACTTTATAATGCTTGTATTTTACTGACTGTCAGTGTCTGTGTTGTTGCTTCCTTCAAACGATGCGATGCGATCCTTCCATGATTATTTAGATTGTGATATGATCTGTCTGCATATCTGTTGACGACTGACGAATGACTGACTCGTACGACTGACACAAAAAATCAATCCATCGAGTCAGTCATGTTGAATGAAGACTTTGCAAGTCCCTGGAGGACGAAATCCTCATCAGACAAAAAATCCTTATCATCATCATCATCATCATCATCATTGACAAGCTCATTACGACAAAGTACTAGTGCTGGTACATTATTACAGTACATACAATCTTCATCATACGATACAAGGATGTTGAAATCTTGCTTTGCACCCTTCGTCTCCGAGTCTCAGGATGAAAACGAAAATGATGACAGCAATGCACCGCCGCCTTTTTTTCAACTGTTTGAAACGTTGGTCCAACACGAACGATTTGTCGACGAAGCTTCAGGTCGTACTATTTCCTATGGCATTGGCGGTGATCCCAAAGGATCTCCCATTTTAGTGTTTCCGCCGCTCTCGGCCAAACACCGCATGCTGGTCATGATGCACGATGATTTGGTCCAAGCTTCCCTCAAAGCTATTTGCGTCAATCGACCAGGAATTCACGGCACTTCTCCATCGAAGGATGCGGTCGATCACTTGAATTTAGTCATGCAGGATGCCTTGGCCGTCTTGGATAAGCTGGAGATTCCAAAAGTGGGCATTTTGTGCATGTGTGCTGGCACCACCTACGCGCTCAAGCTGTATACCGCTCATCCCGAACGAACCACTCGAAGGATTTTGGGCTTGGCACCTTGGACGCTGCCGGCCGATTGTCCTCATTCTCGTGGACTCTATAAATTTGCAGCCAATCGACTTCCAAGGCTGGCAGTAGGCGGGCTAGTCAGCAAGATGGAAATGACCATGATGGGATTTGTTTCCAAAGAAACCATTGCTTCCAAGATTGACGAGACCTGCAGCGAAGAAGAAAGCGAGTACCTCAAAGACAAGTTGTCCAAATCGCCTCATAAGCAAAGTTTTCCGCAAGTTCTAGAATGGATGATGGAAGACTCCTCGGAACGCAATGCCATGGAGGTGGCTGTATGTTTGTCTTCCAGTCAGGATTTTGAGTTGGATTACCGCCAAGTGGATGGGACGATTGTCATTTGGCAAGGAGATAAGGATAACATGGCTCCAGTTCAAGCTACCCAGTGGCTAGCGAACCAGTTTGGAACACCCGGCAAGGTATTCTTTGTAGACAAGGGGACGCATTCGGGTGCTCTCTTTGTTCTGGATTCCAGAATTTCACAAGCCTTTCACATGTTGAAAGAGCAATGAAACGGCAACGATAGTGGAGACCATCAACAACAAATGCCAATAGACAATATTGTCGGTTAAAAGGGGGATAAAGAACTGAAGCACCATATGTCAAGATCAAAGCAACCAAGCAAGCGTTCTTGCAATGCAATTTGGTACAAGAAGGAAATGAAGCGCTCAGGTTTTGCCTCAAGGTTCAAAACCTCGCCAATCTTTGCAATGCTACAGCTGTAACGGCCATCAAGACATTCATAGTACTCATCATGGGCGACAAAACGAGATTACAGTAATTTTAATCATATCACACAAGTATGGTGTACAATGACAAAGAGAACGGATAAAATATTTGCTTTGGACTTTGGGCGTCATTAATGCAACACTCTTTCAAGAACCCACTCTGTACACATGCTTAGGAATGGGACTCCCAAAACAGTTAAGACGCCAGCTGCAGCAACAATGGAACCAATCTTGACATATGCTGCTTTGGTGGATCCAGCAGCCTTGAGGCCTTGTCCGACGCTTGTTCGCGACAGCAAATCCAAATTCAAAATGGCTTGTCCAGTGGGTGCTGCAGTAAAGTCTTCAGATGCAATCTGGGAAATATAACACAATGTTAGTCAACTATGTAGCATTCAAACTTCTGCTCTGCAATCATAAGTAAACCTGATACTTACTTGTGGAATCATTTCTCCAACCAGGTTTTGTCCCGGGATACGCGTGCGTTTGTAGCCAGCCTCTTCCATTGCCAGCTCGGCAAGTGAAAGCTCCTTCGCTTTGTATGGTCTAGCGGACGACTCTGGAAGCGGAATATCCGCGTATCTATCAAGTTTCAGAACTGGAATAGACACCGAGAACTTTCCAAACATATGCTCCTTCATGATTTGCATCTTCTTGGCGTTTTCTTTTCGCACTCTCATTTCACTCTTTGCATCCTTGGATCGAACAGCTTGCATTTGCTCCCAGACATCCTCATCTCCAATCATGTCTTTGATTTTCTGCGAGTAAATATCCAGCAGTTTCATCCACGGGCCAAAGAAGGTCCAGACAAATATTCTCGACCCCCATTTGATGAGGAAGAACCATGGGACAAGAAGGCACACCACCGTCGTGAACATACAAGCTGAAACGATCCAAAATGAAAAGTATGCTTCCTCCCAAATGAGAACATTCTTCACAAAGCGAATACATCTACATACCATTCCAAGCGCAATCTGGAATGGAAGCATCGACTGTGCCACGGGATCAACAGCCGTTCGGATTCCCCTGGTTTTCGTAGTGGCATCCATTTCCTTGATATCTTCCAACCTCTCCTTTTCCTCCCGTTCATACTTGGCGTTCTCTATCGCCGCTTTTGCTTCTGCGACTTCAGCCAGCCTCTGTGCTTCTTTGATGCGGTCCATAAACTTGTCAATTTCCGATTTTGCAGCAACCCAATTCTCGTACGGCTCAATCTTTTCCGAAGCACCCGGTGAAATGCCAAACAACAGTTGCATCGCTACTGTTTTAAAGCTGGTGCATCTGTCCCAAAGATTTGGCCTGTTCTTTCGCCAGCCGTTGATAGCCATCATAATCCAGGCAATTGAGCCAAAAACAAAGGAAGGTATGAATTGCGGTCGCTCCACAAGACATGCGGCTACCACGAATGCAGCCATTGAATGAAGTGGCAATTTGACTTTTGTGAAGCCAAGGTTGATCGGATAGTGACCGCGCCATAGCAGGAGGGTGGCTAGTGCATCTTCCAAGTAAAACAGTACATGCTGGTATGCACGCAATTCATTCAGATATCTATGCAAAAAAAATCTGTGAGTGATTGCAAAGCCATGTGAGAATTGGCGCCAACTGAACTCGTACTTACGACATGAAGATATGAAAGCTGAATCTTTCATAGTCTATTGCTCCAATGCATGTCTGCCGAACTACCCGAAACTCCTTCATACTTTCCACATTGATGTGGCAAGCTCGTGGCGGTTCGATTCCAGTTACTGCGTACAGTCTCTCATCTGGGATTTCTTTCCTTAGCCGTAAGCGAATGACTCCCTCGCTTTTCCGTCCTTCAATTTGCGAACTTGGATAAAGATTGTAGCTCAAAATGTATTCAGTGTCCTGTTGAAGATTGGTCAAATCAATGCTTATGCGACCAATCAAATCGTGATCAGAGAGCCCTGGATCGTAGTCAAACACACCAACATTGATTCGACTACTGGGATGGGCCATGCGCAATGTGAATGCACGCTTCGACCAAGGCAGCCATCGAGGAGAAAGGCAGTCATCAATTGTATCAGTCATCACATCTTCATCAAGGACAGTTAAAGAGGAAGTGAGGAAATTGTGCAGGAGAGAAGGAGGTTTTATGCCAACGGCAACTTACAAGCGTCTTCATAAACAACAGCTACGAAAGCATCAGTTTTGTTTCCAAGAAACCCACCGACATCAAGATTTGGTAAACCAACGCACTATAAGACAAAGACGGCGGGTGAGATTTGAAAAAGGTAGTAAGACTCAGTGGGAAGGAAGAAGCCTACCTCGAGAACTTCCAAGTGAATTTTTCCTAAATCACCTGTTCCCGAGTCAACCCAATGCCTTGAAGGTTCCATGGTAGCTTCGCTAATCATTGCGTCACTCATCCATGCTGTTGCTTCGTCATTCAGAGGGTCTGGATTGGGCCGGACTTTGTACTGAAGAGAATTGCAAATTAATCGAATACAAATATAAAGAAACATTATTGATGCCAAACGTTTGACGAACTTACCAATTTTGTCCCATCAACTTTCTTTGACTTTTTCGCCACCATTGAAAGAATATCGTTGGTATTAGTCTTCGGGTGCTCTTTGGTTACTGTCGTTTGACGAGACTGTTCGTAGTTAGTCAGAAATTCCTTGTCGTGATCTGTTGCTCTTCGGCATCGAATTGCGATGCTTCCCTCTGTATTGAATTCATACTCCATTCTTTCCCCATGCCCGTTGTAAAGATCCTTCGCTGGAACAGATGCAACCCCAAGTAAATCGTTACTCGAAAAGTCGTCATAGTCCTCTACTAGAAAGCTCAAACCACCAGCCTTGAAAAGGTCAAAGGAGTCGACAGTCAAGATAAATAATGATCTGGTCTTGAGAGTGTAAATGGGGTCGAGTCTAAATAGGATGTTTCAGATGAGACAAATTCAGAACCATTGAAAGCCGCAAATCAACCACATTGGAAACTTACGTCTTATAAATGACACCTGTCTGATGAATTTGTTCCTCACCCATCATAACCACGACGTAGGGATCTGATGTGCCTCCAAAATCACCAGCAGGAATATCCCAGCACGACACGATCTCTACCAGAAGTGAGATAGTTTCAAATTTCGGTAATTTGATTCCCCCCAACGCTGCTTCAATCTTCCATTGCTTTCTATCTTCCTCCATTTCTTGTTCCTTTCTCAGCTTGTCGTGAAAGCCATCCACATCTTTCTCGGAATCGAAAATAAGTTCTCGAGCCTGTAATGTGACACCGGCATCAATGGACACAAACAATGATCGAGTATGTGTCCTCTGTACGGTCACATTCGCTACTGGGATTCGATACCTTGGCTTCCAGCCTTCATATTCTCTGCCTCCCGTGTCTTTCAGCACACCGGTCACCATGGTATGTACCGTTTGATCATCGTCGTCGTCTTGATCCTCTCCTTGGATTCGCCGCATGGAAGTGAAGTTTTCCTCACTGCTCTGTGCTTCCTTCATTCTGGAAAAACCTTCTTTGATTGATGCCGCTTTCGTTACTGCGTTGCTTGGCACCAGTACTCTGTTTAAAAATAAAATATGAGTGCTTCCCCTGAAAGACTCATTTTAAATCAGTCCGAAGACTCTTGAAAGTGTTCACTTACCGCAAAACACACTCCTCGAATTGTGCACCATCGTTCGTATACTTTTGATGAGTTTCTATCGACAGCTTTCGGCGGTATCGAAAACGACTTATCGCGCTAGGCAATAATTTTCCCTGAAAGATACAGTACGACGAATAGCGACGTTAGATTCATTCCGTTCAACATATTAATAATACCGCGAATTCTACCGTTTCTCAGCAGGACTAACCTTCATTGAGTTCGAGGGCGGCGGGGCAAATACATCCCAAGTTACCGCATTAAGCAAGTGATCGTGTCTGGCGGCTGCAAAGTTAATAGTCTGGGTCCTCTTCATGTTTAACCGCTTCGATTTCACAGATTTCATGCGATTGAGCCCTGGCCTCTCCATCTTAGGTTGTTCGGACATGGTGACAGAGAGCGGTAGTCTACTGACGATACGAACAAGGAAGAAGGCGTTTGTAGTGTCAATATCGTTGTTGATCTCGTACTGTACTAGAGTTTGGGTCGGGGTTCTCAACGTCGATAGCCTCCGTGTTGTTTGAGTTGGGCGAACTTTCGAATCATTTTTTTGTGGGATTTTTAAAATATTTTGGGGTCGCTTACGGGGTCCTTTTGATTGATTGATTGATTCCTCCGACTATACAAAATGCCGACGGAGTGTTTGTTGTTACGGTTACTGATTGATGGTGACTGGTCGTTTGAGCTGTACGCTCACGGATAGTATAATAGTTCAATTTGCAAACATTGATGACTATGCGGAATGACACTTTTGCTTTCCATTTACAAGAAAGAAGATCCGTAAAAATGTCCCGCGGTAACTACTAGAACGACAAGTTTGATTCATGCTCCTGGGGACGACGAAGTAAGCACAGTCTCATTGGCTTGTTGTTGCTGTTGCATGAGTCAAAAACGTTCCTACGAAGTCGAAACGATTGAAAGTCCAAAGGCATGCTTCAAGATTATCTCTAGAGTGGTCATTAAACTAATGCGAATATTGTTTCGAATAATATTGCATCCATGTACAATGTGTCGTCGACCATAACTTCCAAATTTGGATCGACCATAACTTCCAAATTTGGATGCGATAATCCATTACTCGGCACCTAGCATCAGTATAAACAGACGTATGCCGAGCACAAAACCTTGAAATATTCCATATAAATATTCCTTGTACAACAAGTCAAGCAATTTGCAGCCCCCCAGCCCCCAAAATATATAGCCGAACCATGTTGGTCGAAATGACCGGCACTTTGCTTCAACCTAATTGTTTTACTGAACCATCCTCTGCCGTCTCAATTGGTTCATGAATTCATATCCAGCAAATCCAGAAGTTACCATGATGACTCCCAAGAATGCTGGAAAATACTCGGGAGAAAAGGCTGCCTTTCGAGCAACTTGTTCCACAGACTTTTCACCGGAACGAATCGACAGTGCAGTTCCATGCGCGGAACTCATGAATCGGATGGTATGAGAAATCCCTCTTGTCAACATGTTTGTAGAGTATCAGAAGACTGTTAGCAAAACAGAACCTGAAAATAACTCGTTCGAAAGTTACTTTACGAATAGCAACAGAAGAAGAAAGTGATGGTATGAATTTCTTGGTAGTCGTTGTTTTTCTTCCTGTCGATGTGGCGAAGTTTTGAAGTTTGTTGACGTCAGAAAATATCCGGCGCGTCAGCAGTCTGTCATTTAAAAAAACGCTCCGTCTGTCCTTCACCATTGTTCCATGCGCATTTTCGCGCGATGATGGGCTCCAAAACAATCTGACAGTGTGGACTGTGAAGGATGCAACACAGACAACGAAGCCAAAACACAATTTCATCAATAGAGGCAATCCTCGTCAGCTGTGCTCCTATAAGCACCATAAACGGAAAGATATGAGTGGATTTCTCCAGCTTTGCTCTAGAAGGACTATTCCAGCCAGGAGGCAATGTTGGAAGTCCCTCGCTGCTTCAGAACCAAGATGGTACTCAGCAACTCCCACAGCACTCGATGAAGAAGCCACAGCTACCAAGAAGGATGACTCTGAAGAGCTTCGCAAAATTGCTCATGAATTCAACCGAAGAAAGGCAGCTTACAAACGACAGGTATCGAAACTGCGTAAGGGTTATTTGGAAGAATACCAACGCAACAAGGCGGAAGATGAAGCCCAACGTGATGCGGAAGAAGCGGAAACTACTCGCCGACGTCTTGAACGCCAACGTGCCAAGAATGAACGCAGTGTTCAAAATGCGCATCGTCAACAAGAATTGAGACGACAAACGGAATTAGCCTTTCAAGATCACTTGAGAGTCCAACAGGAAAAGCGAGATTACGAGAAGGACGTCTTCAATCGAGCACGTCAATTGGTCATTGATGAGTTGGAAGAAGAAGCTCCGATGTGGCTTACCACCCCAGAGGAGATAGAGGCTGCTTTTTCTCCCGAAGCAGAGCAAGCATTGTGGGCAAGGCCTCAAGGCGTTATCGGGGTTCCAAATCCAAGTCTGGACAGCGAATTCTGGCAACATGAGTGCCATACCTGGGACATGAGCAAAACATACAAGACGCAACAAGATATCTTGGCGGACGAGTATGAAGAACTAGTATACGCTGAGACAAATATTGACCCAAGCTACTGGTCTCCAGAGAAGGTTGCAGAACGGGAAGCTTTGGAACGCAAGGCCAAACTGCGAGCAAACGTTCGAACAGAAGGTCGAAAGTCTCTGTTGAGACGGCAAAAAGAATTCCTTGATGAAGAAAGCGAGACACCAGAAGGAGAAGTTCCACGCCCCAAACCTATTCCAAGTCTTGGTGTATTAGGAAGTAACCAGGCTCAAGAGAAGGAAGGTGCAGAGATGCTATTGAAGGATCCAACCAAGTTCTTTGTCTTCCAACGGCAGGCAGATTCGACCCAAAGCGAAACTTCAGAAGAGAGCGAGCTTGGTGAATCCTACTCTGGACCAAGTCTTGGAGTTCCTGTCGATATCAAGGATCCCCTCCGACACAATTCTCCACAAGGACGTGTATTCCCAAGAGGTGTTGGTAAGGCTCCCAAGCCTGACATGCGATCCGAAAAGGAGAAGAAGAGACAAGAGAGAGAGGAGAAGCTCTGGGCAGCTGCGCAAGCCCAAGCAAGAACGGACAAGGATGAAATCGATATGGCTGCCGATGATGATATGGAATTTTATGGAGAACCATTGGACTACGACAAGAATGACGGATGGGACTCGGACGATGAAGAATGGTTCAAGGGTCTAGACCCTGACCGCGATGCTGACTTGATGAAAGTGCCACGCGAGTACCGATACCGCGAGGAAGATATCGATTGGTTGATCCAGAAGCTAGAGACCAAGGCCGGCCAAATGCAATCACACGTGAATAGCACAATTGAATCCATGGAGATGGAAACCCGGTCTCGAATGGATGAAGCCGATAAGAAACCTGAAGCTGACTCACAACCATTCTTTGACGACGCTGCCGTCGCAAAGCTGAAGAGTGTGGGTGGTGACGTGGATCGCTTCGAGAAATTGATGGCATCTTTATCCAAAGACCAAATGCTGTCATTATTTGGTTTGGAGGCCAACCAGCGCAAGTCAAAGGACGAAGCAACTGGAAGTCCGTTTGACGTAGTGCAAGGTCTGACAAGCGAACAAATCACGGGCCTCACCGAGCTAGACACGCTATTCAAGGAAGCAGAAAAACAAGATGAATAGATATACAGTTTCAAATCTTGATTATCGTTCTATTCCCATAGGTTGAAAACAGTAAAATTGGCAAGAAAGAGTAGGTGAAAATTCCGCTAGTCCATACCTTCAAAGAATGATGGAGCTAGCTTCATGAAAGCAAACTCGACACAGTTGCCCATGGCCCAGTAGTGAATGTTTGGTTCCTTATGGAAGATGACATAGCCATGCTTATGCATGCCTTTGAAGAAGTTTTCAGTTGCAGGCTGGACGACTTCCTGATTCATTCTGGCATTTGGCTTTCCCTTTGCGTGAATCTCGACAAGCACTTGTTGAAGGTTCACTCCAACGGTGGAGCTGTCCACCCAAGTTTCATACGAGTCCAGTTCACAGCCTTCACAATCAATCTTGAAGATATCAATCGTCCGACCAATATGACCAAGTTCTTCGGCCGTTTGACGAAGGGTCTTCATTACCTGACCTCGCCTATTTGTCAAGGCTTCATTGGAAATTCCCCATTGATGATATATTGATCCTTCCTCTTTTGCACGTTCAGAATAGTCATCGGGGTCAAAAGTGTGGATTTCACAATGTTTCCCAATTACTTTCTTGACTTCTCTTTCAAACGAGAAATCATTGTTACTACCAACAGAGTATACTAAGCAATCCTTCTTCTCCAGATATCTGTGAGGGTCGCAAATCCATTTTCCTCCGTCACCCTGTCTGCCAACTCGCTTTTCATGCCTACAAGCAAACTCTGGTTCAAAATGATTCTGAAACCAGGCATTTGCCAGGTTGCCTCCTCTGCACCAATCGCACATATTTGGCTGAATCTCCTTGACTCGCTCCTTGAGTAGCTTCCACTCTCGCTCTGGAATGTCTGTGAAGAATCCAAATGATTCATCGTTTGCAAGCTGGAAATCTGATGATCCTGAGTGTTGAGGTACCAATATACTGGAACTAGATGTTTTCTGAGCCACTGAACTAGATGCTTGAACCGCTTTAGCAGCAGCAGCAACAGCACTTGGTTGAACTTCAGTAGGTTGGACTTCCGTCATCAGTCTCACGACATCATTTGAGCGAAACGAGACTGCCAAAAAGGCACATCCAAAGATCAATGCTACAATTGCGATGTTTTTTGCCGATATTACAGAGCCTTCCTCCTGTACGGAACGTTTTCGTGGTATTCTCATCGTGTTTTCTCTATGGGCATTGCTGTTTGTTGATCATTTGCCCGTGCTTCTAAAATTAGAATTGTCGTTGAAGATTTTGAAATCGCAATGCTGGATGTGCGCAGGGCGCAGGACATCGACTCTCCAAAAAAAGAAAAAAGCTGGCTTCACAGAAAACTGCGGGATATCCCAGGGACGCGAGTGCCCACGATAAGTCAAAGTAGTCGGTTGACTTTGCTCTAATCTTATCTTATCCACCGTTAATCTATTGGGTCTTCCATTTTAAAAGCTACTAGTACTAACACTAATTCGGTATTGCATTTTTAGCAAAGTAAGTCGGCCGTTGCCCATTGTATTGCAGCAAAATAGAAAGCTGGCTGCTTCCCCAGGATATCGGTGACAAGTCGCCAGATCATCAATGCGATAGTCCAGTAGTCACCCTTCTTGGTTGTCAAAGAGCATACAGTAGTAGTACGTGGGTGAAAAGAAAGGTAGCCATCACCCCTTCGATAGTAGAAAGGACACATTTTCCTCTATCCATCATTTTTCCGATGACAGCAGCGATGTAACTACGTTCTTGTCTCTCATGCCTTCCTAGAAATAATTTGTGCCGGAGAAAGTCTTCATTCTTCGTTCACTTGAGCGTTGAGAATTCCCAACCAAACCACCCCTCCAACTGCCATAGACGATCCGAGCAGCGCACGGAACGTTGGCCGCTTCGATTGACCCCAAAATGTCCATTCGAAGAATGCCGCATAGAGTGGGGTAATAGATGTAAGCGTAAGCGCGTAGGCCAAGGGGATTTGAAACAGAGCATAATTGCTCAGTGCAGGGCACAGGAACGTCACAAAGACCACGCCGAGACACACTTGTGCCCACATTCGAATTGTTTTACTTGGTAGTTTGAACCATGCTTCCTTCTTCGGCTCTTGATCACTGTCATTTTTGCTGGGTCTTTGGTACAGTGCTAAGCTCACGGAAACAATGGCCATGAGCACACCAGAACAACCAAACCGTATCAGATTGATCCCCCAAGTGGTGAAATTCCAACCATGTTGCTTGGTCAAAAGCGATCCATATGTATCTAACAGCACATTCATAACCGCAAGAATGTATCCCACCTTTCGAAATGAAGTGGTCTGATTCTCTTCAACGGCGACTGGACTTATGCCTACTATCCGATCATCTTGATTGTCACCCTGGTTCGACTTCAATGCACTGCCGGTTCCATTTATACCGTCTTCCTCATCGTTTCTATTCTCATCTTGCATAGCATCAGCGGCAGGAACATCCATTGTCGAGGATGGCGGTATCGTACGAGTAGTTTCGTGACCATCAGTTTTCGTTTCGTCCGAATTGTCATCAATTGGTTCGTTATCGACAGAGGATGCCAGCTTGTTTTGCTCTAGGCTGACCACCAGAACTCCGGTCATAGTCAATGCCATCGCCGCATAGGAAATAGGATGTATTGTTCCCTCGTCCAACAAAAACCGTCCCATTACAGCCGCACAAAATGGCTTGATGGTATCAATCACCAACACTTGAAAAGCGCCGAGTCTTTGCAGAGCTTCCAACCACAACCAATCCCCCACAATGATTCCTAGAACACCAGATAAAATCAACCAACCAATATGTTCCAATGAGAAATCATCCTTCTCGAACAAAAAGCCAAAAATCAACCCCACCACCACAAAAATGATGGACGCAAAGTTGCATTTGAATAGGTTGAGAGAAAAGGCACTGGATCCCTTCCAGGTTTTGTCCCATACAATGAATCCAATTGCCATGCATAGCGGTGAAGCAATGGCAGCTAAGATGCCCGTAAGTTCTTCATCGAGGAAGGACACCATTGAATTATACAAGACTGTTGAAATCCAGCGTGTTTTTCGTTTCAGTCACGCGATAGTTACTCGTGACTGCATTTCCACGTCAGAATTAAAATTGAATTCAATTCGAAAATTTGGTGGTGGAAATTTCAAACCATCCACGTATCGGTAGGTATTCATTCATGAACCTATTTACGTTGACCGTCACAAACCACTCATTAAAGACAGGACAAACGGCGGAATTGTTTTGGCAAAATATTCAAAATAAATAAGTAAGCCCGATCATGACGACCATCCAGACTTTGGGTACCTTCCAAGCTTTTGTTTGGGTATGTTGCCTGATTCTCATTTCAGCAATGCCATCCATTGGCCGAGAGTCTTGTACGTTATCGAGCATTCCAAACGACACGAGCAACTTATGTTCATCCCAGTCAATACCTTCTGCAACACTCGGAGACCAACGGCAGCAGTATGATCAGCAATTTGCAGAACCTTCGCCGCCGCCACTCTTGTCACCACATCAGGCGCCAACTTCCAATGGAGCAATTGCACCTTCGAATCCAATGGCAATCTCTGACCACCACCCACAATATAATTCCGAGCAAGACTACTATTCCTTGTTCCCTCCATCTCCCCCACCGCCGAAAGAAGTTCCTCTGCGGTTCTTGAATGCGTGCAATGGAGACTACGCGGAAGCCCAACGGAGATATGATGCTACCTTGGAATGGAGACGCAAGGAAAATATGGATACCATTCTTCGAGAACCATTTCCAAACTTTTTTACCATTAAGAAACACTATCCACATTATCATCATGGTACAGGCTTTCGAGGAGAGCCAGTCTACTACGAATTTCCGGCCAAGGCTGATATGAAAGCACTCAAGCGAGCAGGACTAAGCGCAGATCAATTGTTTCGACACTACAATATGGTGACGGAATTTCAATGGCAAATGCTCAATCGAGATGATTCCATGACATCCATCTTTATTGTGGACTTTGAGGGGATTACTTTGCGCGATCTTGCAGGAGACGCTGTAGATCTTGCCAAGAAGGCTTCCAAAATTTCTGCCGCGCACTATCCAGAACGGGCTGGTTTGGTATTTATCGTCAACGTTCCGAACTGGTTCAAGCTCATATGGAAGATGATTGTTCCTCTGGTTCCGGCGGAAACTCTGAGTAAGATTTTCGTCTTGCGAGGAAGAGACGAAGTTCTTGCATCACTATCCAAATACATACCTATGGAGAACATTCCAGCCGAGTATGGTGGAGCTAGTTCACTACCGCTTGGTCAGTCTTCCGAAGAGAAATTGTTGGCCAATTTGATACAATACAATCTCCATATGGCGGCTACCCATTCAGGCGGCTCGTGGAATCAAAAAGGAGTGACTGATCCGGTGCAGATGGAGCAACTGTCACGTCAATTCCGCAATTGGGCACCTGCAAGAAGTTATTGACGAATGAATGAATCATTGAATTAAAATTATTCGGTTTTGTTGTTCTTGGGGATTTGTTTCTGTCGGGGTTGTGTCAGTTTGTAAGAGTGTCGGAGTGTCAGTGTGCCTATAGGGCTCACATTTTGGGTTGTTTTTTCGTGACAGCTCAAAACATATAAATTGTTCCAAGTATTGCAAAACATGGAAAAGTTCCTATGAAATTGTACAGTAGTCAAAACTATCATCTCGTAGTTTAGCAATTGTTTGCCCGATAGCTCCGATTGCATTCTCCTATCCAACACAGATCAGAAAGCCATGTTGTGTCCGACTCAGTGGTAGGGGCGTATCAAGCACCGTTCTCCGTTGCTTGGAAGTGACTCATTAAGCTACATGGCCGACGCTACGTCGACGCAATCCAATCGCTGAAGGCAGGAAGGCGTAAAGTGTTAGGATCCATTCCCGCTTCCGATCAGTTCAAACGATTCAATTTAGCATCCGGGAATTCGGTATGCTGTTTCTGACACCTTTTGTGAGGGGGCAATCTCACAGAAGGCACTTTTTAAATTTTTTAGCTCTATGTCTTTTGGAATTTGAGATTTCTACTTATTGGCTGACTCTTGTGAACTAGGCCCTACCTGAAATCACATCGGATTCTTCCGGGACAACCGTAGGATCTAGCGAAGAATTTCTGGTAGGAAGATCGATTGCGACACATACCTTCTGGTCTATTTGATCAAGATTTGACACGACTTTTCTTTTTTATCATCTCAAATCCATCATAAAATCTCAGATTCCCCCCACCAACGACTCGATCAAGAACTTTCATTGTTCTCATCAGAAACCAGAACCAACACAACCACAACAAAGCAGTAACTACAACAGTAACTCCAACAGTAACTACAACAAACATGAAGGCCAAAGTTATCTCCGCAAACTCAAAACTTCTCGACATCATTGATGTCGTCCGAACTCGAAGCACTGATTCTACCGAAAACGTAAACGCTTTCGTAAAATCGTCTCCACTCCTTTCGTCAGCTATGGGAACAGTCACACATGCATTGGACTGGAGGAACAAGGAAGAGACCACTATCTTCCGCTCCCGGCCTGGTGCTTCGGACATTCCAGATATTTTCACCATCCAAAGGTGCGATGCCTTCGAAGACAGCGATAGCGACGACGAGTAAAGCAAGACTGGAAATGAATCAATCCATTGAAGCAAACGGGAAGGGCACGAATGAATCCAAGAATTCCCACAAATGGGACGAGAAATGGACAAGCAAATGGGATGATGCGATGAGGATGATCGTGCACCCTCCGGGAGCCATGACTCTCACATTCCACCTGAAAGGAGTGCGGTCGGTACGAGTTCGCCACGATGAAAGTGTTGTGAACACAAGTTACCGAAGAATCGAACGTCCCCCGAAGCCCAACTGAAACCAAACCAAACATTTGATCCGATACTTTCGGATGCAGCTAGTTGTAGGCAAAGACTTGCTTTCCAGAACAAGTTGGCCTGCTGTTAAGAACTGGTACTAGCGTTATCTAAATCATAAAATCTGAATATTTCCAACCGATCAAATACTACTGTAGTCTAATGTCAGCTTTTAAATCCTATCGCAAGGGGGTAACTGTGCCGGGTTTACCATCTACACAAAACATCCGGGGATTGAAGAATCTTCCTTACCTTCATTAACCGTCGCTTTGTCCATTGTCAACGCACGTGTGAAAGTCGGACGAGTCGTTGTTCTGGACATTTCACAGAAACATCGCAAATGCACACAAAAAAGAAACGGAAGAACAAGATTTATTCATCAGAGCTCAATGGACGCTTTCGGAGAGCTCATCAAACAATACGACCCTGTCACTGAGCTCATATTTCAGGCACATGCATATGATGATGAAGGAAGGCTGCAAAAAGCAAAAGAGGCCTTAAAAAAAGCTTTGGAAACTCAAGTGCAAGAGCTCGGCGAACATCATCATTTAGTCGGAATAACACACGGCAGCATTGGGATTATGTTGAAGGATCAAGGTTATCTAAAAGAAGCCAAGATGAATCTCGAAAAATGTCTTCAGATACTGTCACATAGTTTGGGGCAAAATCATCCTCAGACTAAACCATTCTAGGACCTACATGAACATGGGAGACGTCTTTTTCAAACAAGAAAACTACCAAGAAGCAGAAGAAATGCTTGGAAAAGCTTTAAAGATCCATCTGGACTCTAAGTCTACTGATCATGCTTTCATAGCAAAGGTATACCATCTTTTGGGCGTGGCCTCACAAGTCCAACAGAAGCTTGCGGAAGCGATTAAAATGTTCAAAAAATCTCTTGCTCTGAAGCTGGAAGCATTTGGTGAAGTTCACCATGAAGTGGCGTCGTCGTACCTCGAAATTGGTGGTCTTTTGCAAGAGAAAAAACGATTGGAGGAGGCTGAGGTGATGATTCAGAAAGCTTTGGAAATAGAAAGTCATCTGGAACGTGGCCCCCAAGTTGATCTTAAAGGACGAGCTCTGAACTATTTCGGAGCACTTGAAATGGATCGGGGCAACTGCGACAAGGCCATGGAAATGTACCAGAAAATGCTAGAATCGCCGCTTCAAGATGGTGGCGAAAGGCTTCTGTGTACAGCAACGGCTTACTATCATATTTCAATGGTACACCTTCGCTAAGGGAGTTTGGAAGATGCAGTTGCTTTTAGTGCCAAAGGCCTTAGAATTCGTAGAAGATTTCTTGGCGACGATCACCCTTGGACACAAAGGCACATGAAAGAACATAGAGCTTGCTTGGGGGTCCTTTTGAAGAAAAATCGGCGTTAAACAGTGTGCTCGTCGCCGGGAATTGACTTTGGGTGTTTCGAGGAGGATTTAGCCATGATGATAATCAAACTCAAGTCGGAGGCTCGGCAAAGTATGAACAACATAGAGAGAATCATTAGGTTTCAAGGATACTTTGATTAGATGATATCAAATCCTTTGTTAGACGATACTTTCAAAACTGCGAATGATACTTATGCAGAAGTAGAGGAGTACTAGCTCTGGTTTGTTGTTTAGATAGGCCGTCGTTTGACTCGTTCGAGTATGACCACTTCGAATGGTTTTCGAACACAAAATCAAAAACATCATTGAAGTCAAAACTTGGCATTGTGACAAAGGGAGGAAGAGACCAAAGCTGGAAGGCATATGGCGTTTCTATAACGATATCACAGTATCATGAAACATAATTCATTGCAAAAGAAGAGAAGTAGCCTTGCAAAACGTTTGAAAACTGCTTCTCCAAGTCGCAGAAGCAAACGCATCGAATCCAAGAACAATTCGGTCAAAAATCGAGCCGACGTGCTTCACGGAAGCATTTTGTCCCACATTTTAACCTTTTCTTATATTCGAGATACTCCAAATATGGCAAGAACTTCTTCCACTTGGAATGCTGCTCTGGAAGATGCGTACGAAGAGATTTGTCGTGAAACTGTTCATTCCCGCTATCCACGACTTCACGAGCTAAAGCTACTTGAGGAAGATTGTCTCGCGGGAGGAAGTGGAACTGGTGCATTTACCATCTCGACTTATAAGGACATTTTAAAGCGCCGTGTGACCATGCAATACAAGCCTGTTGGTCTCAACCAGAAGCTTCAAAAGGATTTTCACACCATCTTTGCCCACAAGGGGATCGTTGCCTTTTCCAATTGTTGCAGTATGTGCACTGATAGCTACTATGAAGATGACCCAACGTTCCAACTTCGTAACGAAGATGGAATCCTATGTTTCAAAGCCTTTCTCAATGGCCGAAACTTCAATCCTGGCATGTGCAACGGTGTTGGTGTTTGCTATGGCGCTCTAAAATACATTCACGACCATTGGGAGGAGGAATGCAAGCTTCTGGATTTATGGTGCCATATCGTTGGATTAGCAAAGGACGACTATTCTATTGGAAAACCCGAAAGCATTAACCGTGCTGTGATAATCAATTTGAAGGCTGGTGTGAGTGTGGAGCTAGAGGAACCCTTTGAATTTTTCATTGCTGCCTCTCCAATGGGGTGCACTATTCAGTAAATCTAACTCTAGATTGACTAACTGGCTAGAACAAAAGAGAGGCATGGAACCAAATATATGGAACTATAGTACACATCTTTTACTCTTTTACGAAATATCCTGAAACATATTGGGGGATTGTTGAGACAACCAGTTCGTGATTCAACTTATTCGGCAGTCTTGGCTCTTTTGTGCGCTCGCAAATCTACAGAGCTACCACTAGAGCTAGTAGTACCATCGCTAACATTGCCATCTTTTTCCTCTCCAGCTGGGGCATCCTCTTCCATGGCATCATCATCGTCGTCGTCGTACTTGCTCTTGGTGGAACTGGTCTCGTCTTCCTCGTCGGTCGATTCCTCGCCAGCCGAAATTTTTTCGTCTTCGGTTGCTTTGGGAATAATATCCTCGACGACGACTACCTTTTCTTCTTCCTTCTTGGTTGCTTCTAAAATTCTCTTGATTTCCGCCAATTTCGCTTCTTCTTCTTGCTGTTTCTTGGCGGGCTCCTTGAGATCCGAGGGAGGTGTCAAATCACTGATATCCAGGACTTTACGAACCCACAAGACCATTTCGGTCTCTGATTGAGAAAGGGGACGGGTATCGAGCAATTTTTCCCACTTGCGCTTCCGTATTTCGACCAATTGAGCCATTTCACCGGAACTGATAGCCTTCTTCAAGCCATCCGGTTTGCCCAAACCACTGTTGGATTCCAAGGCCCGTTCCAAGAGTTCCTTGGTATTCCATTTGCGGAAGACTGGTTTTTGCGGAGTAGATTCGTCTTGCTGTGACATCTCTTCTTCCTTGGGGGGTCCAGCAGTGAGTCTTTCGGGAGGAATCTTGCCTTCGTGTTTGTGCTTTTTGAAAAAGTTGCGCTTGGCCACGGGGAGGGAACAAAAGACACAATATCGAAATTTGATCCCGGCATTGCGGCAGTGATCATAGGAACAAACAAGTTCGGCACCATGCTTGACATCTTCGGGAACTACAAAATAGGCAGTCTGAGACAATTGAGTAGTAGAGAAGAAGGATCTGTTAGTGATTGGATATAATATGCAATCATATCCAATGTGCATTCATATCCCAATATTGAAGTTTTCATTCGTACCTTTGCATTGTGATCCATTGGCATTCCGCGGGCACGGCAAGGAAGAACGGTAACTTTGGATCCAGCAAGAGCCAATGCCGTGTCTTCTTTGGCCTTGGTGGTAGGAGGATTGGCAGGAGTTGTTGCAGGAGCAGCTGCTGGTGGTGGTGGTGGAGCAGCCGCCATCATGGAATCCATGCTGGGCACGGGAGCCGGAGAAGGTACACCCATAGCGGCCATTTTGTGTTGGCGGTCCCGTTCTTCAAATAGACGGAGCAAGGCATTTTCATTGCGAGCGCCTTCCCTCTGTCGGAGAGCAGCCGTCATGGAATGATCCATGCCTCCACCACTATTTGCCATATAAAGTTCTTGTTCACGGAACATGGCAGCCTGTCGCAACTGAGCCGAGATTAGAGCTTGAGCCTCAGGGCTGTACTCTTGCGCCAAAGCAAGTTGGGCAAGAGTTTCCTGTCTGCGTTGTTGGACTAGTGCTTCCAAGCGGAGCTGCTGCATGTACTCGGTGTCTTGTGAGCTCAGGCCACCATAACCACCTTGTCCACCATAACCACCTTGTCCGCCATAACCACCTTGTCCACCACCGCCACCGTATCCACCAAAACCAGCAGCCATCAGAGCAGCACGTTGCTGCCACATGGCCTCTCCTTCCATAGCTTCTCGTTCGACGGCTTGGCGATGGAGGGCTTCTCGGAGTTCCATTTCAACAGCTCGTTGTTGAGCTGCTGCTGCAGCAGCGTTTGTAGCAGCAGCGCCTGAAGATGGGACATTATCGGTTGTGCGATTATCTTTCTTCGGCTCTGCGGGAGCTTCAGCTTCTCCTGATTGTTGGGGAGCCGATGACTGCGCATTAGCAGCATCAACCAACAGAGAGAGGGCGTCAAGAGGGTTCTTTTTTACTTCAGTTGCCATGGTCCAGTTTTGTTGAGTGTGATGAACAAACTGAATTTTTCCGAAAAGCCAGTCGAAGGGACGAAGGGGATAAAAACCTATCCGGCACAACGAAAACATGTACTGGGTGCAGCCGTAGACGACGGCGTAAAGCACCTACTTATGCTGCATAGAATGGCAAATTATCGAATTCGACATCCGACCATTAAGTAACTACTTAGTCACAGGTCACAACGAACGGAATCTACTTGAACAAGGTTCTCGCTCAACCTCTAGTCGATCTGACGTGGATAAAATCTGAGCGGCAGCATGACACTAAATTTGGTCCAATTTTTGTTGGCGACAGGTGAAAGGGTTGACAGGCGGACGGGCGGAAAAATTGTTTCTTTTCGATGATATTATATTTGATGATCTTGAGTTTTGGGAGTTTGCAGTTTTCATCTTGACAAAAATGAGTACTACCATTGCTGTCTTGATCGTATTATTTCTAAAGCTTTCATTAGCAAAAGCCTTGGTATCATCATATTGGAGATATGGTCAATCACAACCTCGTGTGGCATCCACGCCACTGAAAATGACAGGCAACAACAAGATGGATCATTTGACAAAGATTGATCGAGTGTTGTGCATTTCCGATTTGCACGTGGATCACAATGACAATATGGAATGGTTGGCGAATCATACACTGGCAGACACAATAGAGGGAATCAGCTTGCAAGAAAGCGATCTCGTCGTTGTGGCCGGTGATATTTCTCACGACTTGGAGCGCATCGAGCAAGCACTCGGATATCTCCAACGACAAGGATCTTCCATTCTATTCGTGCCGGGCAACCACGAAGCCTGGCTTCATTCCAGCGAACTGGACAAGGGAGATTCCTATGAAAAATTGGAACGCATTAATGATTTGTGTCAAAGCATGTGCGTTCATACCAACCCAGTCTTGGTGGGGAACACGGAAGAACGACCACATGGCTTGTGGATAGCTCCACTGCAGAGTTGGTATGATGGAACATTGTCGGTTGCCAGTTTGGGTGAGTAAAAGATTGCGCACTTTATCAAAGCGAATGTTGTATATGCAAATGGTTTACTAACATGCATCCATATCATGTTTCAGAGGATCTTTGCGATGACTTTGGACGGTGGCCTTGGGTCGACTTTATTAAATGTCGGTGGAGGAACTTTGCTCCGATGGGTGGCGGCAACAAGCGAATCCCCAATGGCTTGGTGGAATACTTTTTAGAACAAAATCGAGTAGTGTGGGATGGCATGGAAGATGCCATGAAGAGCAGCCCTGGTGCGTCGTGTTCCAACCTCATGACAGTGTCCCATTTCCTCCCCAATCAACAATGCTTGCCCGATTGGGTGGACGTGGATTCATCCGAGTTTGATCGTAACAAATGGTTGGAGCATGGTGGGGGTGGAGTCTCGGCCAAATTTGCCAAGGTAGCTGGAACGAAGCTCTTGGACGAACAAATTCGAAACCACAATTTGGCACCGATTCAACGACAACTTCATATCTTTGGGCATTCGCACCGACCCAAAGACTTTGAAAAGGATCAAATACGGTATATTCACAATCCACTAGGAAAGCCACGAGAACGTGACATATTCATGGTCTCTCCGAAAGTTGACTTTCAACCGGTTTGGGACACAAGATCAGGAGAAATTCGAGGCGAAACCATTATTCGATTCTGGGATGAAAAGGGAGGAGGAGTGGACGCTCTCAGGGAGCGAATGAAAAAGTCAAAACGCAAGACGAGATATGGAAAAGGCTACAAGAAAGTAAAGAAGAAATCGAAGAATCAAACCACTGAAAGGAGTTCAAGATAACAAAGTATCAGCCCGAACACTGGATAGCGGCTCGACAATCGGTATTGACATGACTCTATTAGGTGGAACTCAGCTCAATGAAGTCAAGAAGATGAGATCTTGAACCTATTCTTATCATTTTACATCCAAAGTCAAGTTTCTGGAGGCCTCTCCATCATCACCGGGAAATTGTTGATCATTACTGCTGCTGCCAGCTTCGGGAAGATTGAGAGTCCCTCCTTGTGCAAGCTCTTGCAGTAACAGTCTAGTTTCGGCCAACAATTGCTGTCGATCAATTTTTCGCATATCGGCCTTGGCCTCAAGATATGCTTCTCTCGCAGCCAGCTGGCGTTCGATATCAGCTAGATTCTCTCGCAATATATTCAAATAATCCTTTGCCTTGTCGTTGTACTTGTACATGCTAAAAAATCGGTCAAAGGAATCGCCCTCTGCCGCTTCTCCAATTGCGGATAAAGCTTTGTAGTCTTTGGAAGAAATGAGAGCTGGTGGCAATAGTTGTCGATTGAGCAAGCGGCCCATCAAGTGGGTCACAAACTCGGAATTGGCTATTGTTGCATCGTGGAAATTCGACTCCATATTGTAACACTCGCATCGTGCATTTTTGAAAATCTTTTCATACCTGTCGCACCGTGGACCGTTGGAAACTCGCGCGTACTCAGATACCATTGTTCGACCATCCCAAAGATCTGCCGTTACTGTATCGGGATCAATAGAACCCCCAAACATGGGATTGGACACAACAACATCAATGTCGGGGAAATCCTGCAATGCATCAAGCAAAATCTTCTTTGCCGGCAGCAGCAGGGGGGAGACATTAACAACAAGCTTGCCCCGAAGCTCTTCAGATGGCAGCGACTTGACGCATTCCTCCAAGCAAGTCATGGGAACAGCAAGAATCACTATGTCCAAGCCAGACAGGAATTTGGAACGCTCAAAAGAGTGGTAAAAGTCAATTTCCATGCGACGGGCATCACTTGACTGTAACAATAATGACGAAGCAGGTTATGAGAGAGACTGCCTGGTGCGTAGTGTTAAAGCAATACATCCTTCCATACGCACCTTGTCAACTTGGTCCATGCAGGACACACGATGTGATTTTTTCATTTCCGCGGCCAAGGACTGGCCAAAGGATCCAAAACCAACAATTCCGATATTCATTGGCTTAAGCTCATTGGTTTCACTTGGCAAAGAGACTAAACTGAGTTCGGAAAGGTCCACTTCGGGTTGGCCCTTGAGCTCTTCAACAGCATCTGCAATGGGTCCAACCAAGCCCGAATTCGTGGGATAGGAACCCAAGACTCGAAAATAATCGACCTGTTCCTTTAAGTGCAGCAATGCGTTCTTGGCGTTGTTATCGTTGATACTACTCAAAAAGTCCAAGTAGAAGCAGTAGCGAAAGCGGGGCATGGAAGCGTCGTCATTGTAATTTCCACTTTTATCTCTTTGAAACTTGAGCATCCTCAGCAAGAGCGCCGAAGTGGGCCGACTCTCAATCTTGGAGAAATCAATATCTCGCAAGGAGAAGCAGGCCAATGCTTTGTAAAGTGCACCTGGCTTGTCGGATAGAGTAAAAAAAACGGAAGTCTTTGAAGGCGTTGACTTTGTGAGATATTGATCAATTCCCTTTCGTCCCAAAAGCAAGAAACGGGTAAAGTTGCTATCATTGTCCTCAGCGCCCTTTTTTAGGCAGACCATTCCGTAGGCTCTGCCAGCAAGGTCAGAAGCGATCGCGCACGTATTTTCTTGAGTCATTCCTAGTGGCAGGTCTGGAAGCTTTCCTTCCGAGATCATTTTGGCACTACCGGCCGTATCATATGCTGGAACTGGTGTGATTCCAAGACCCCGTAAATAGTTGTCGCATTGAGCAAGAGCTTGAGGGTGGGAAATCGCGAATTTGATATCTTCTACTTTGACGCCTTCCATGGCTAGAACACAATGTTCAACGCGGAAATCATGCTCGGCACAAACGGTCAGGTCGTATCGGAAGAGTAGATCGTAGTTCTCATGGATACTCCCTCCCAAAGAGTTTTCCACAGGAAGACACGCGAAGTCAGCTTCCATATTTGCCACGGCTTTGAAACATGATTCAAAAGATGGTCGGCCGATTGCTACCACCTGGTCCCCGAGAAGTTCTCTCGTAGCTTTCTGCGAGTAGGCACCTGGCTCTCCTTGATATGCAACTCGTAGATTCAAGGCCGTCTTGGAGAGAACTGTCTTTCGGCTCCAGGCATTCTGCGGCGAAAAAGCAACTGCTGGCTGCAATCGAGATACAATAAGGGCCCCATAGATGAGAGCGATTCCTTGATGTATTTTTGAAATCGCGTACATCTTCGTGATGGATTCAATGGATGCTATCGGGGGAATGTTTGAAATTGTTTTGTGATGAAAAAATTGCGAAGCACCACCTGCGGATAGCAGCCAGACCTTGGCATTTTTCACTTTTGATTTTCAAACCTGTGCATCTCGATCAGGTCCGTGTGTCGTCCGTCAGAGTGAGTGAGTCAATCAAACGGGACTCGGATTCCCGCGTAGGTACAGTATCTGCGTGCGAGGGCAATGCTGTGATCGATACTCTTTCCAATTGTGATGCATCTTCATTTCCACTAGTGGCTACTTGCTATCCTTTCTCATCTAGAGCTCAGAATTGTTATCAAGACTACATCAGGACAAAATGGAAGTAGAACAATCATCGAATGACGACAAAGGCAACTCACAGCACACTGGAGAACGACGACGGATTCCGAGGACATTTTGCGTTTTGGTCTCTCTCTTGGTGGCATATTCGGTCAAGGAAATCACCTTTGGTGCACACTTACCCAGTGTAGATAGCTTTAAGAGCCGAACCAAGTGGGGTCTGGAGGAAGAATCCATGCTTGTCTTACACTGGATTAATCCCGAGTTGGGTTTGGAGAAGCAGCACTTGGAATCTGTGGACGTGCAAGCTGAAATCAGCACCCTACATAAGAAAAAGTATATTCCCATTGATGAAATTCACAAGTTTGGATACATTCATACAGGAGCTTGGATGGTGGTTCTAGATACCAATACAACCATGCAAGATGCCAAGATTCTGATGTTGAAACGATCGGCACACGTTGTCACTTGTCCAAATTATTGGAGTCTTTTGGGAGAACATTCCAATCGCGATGAGGAACCAACAGACTTTGCCATTCGAGGAATGAGAGAAGAAATGGGTGAACAGTTTTATCGTCAGTTCCTGCATACCGGAGGCAAGATCAAACCATTGTTGAATCATCCCATCTTTTTCAAACGAGACTACGATACACCTGATGGAAAAAGAATGGATCGACAAATCAATTACATATTTACAATTGAAATGAATACTCCTTCTGCTGTTCTAGAGAAGCTGTCCAAAGTAGATAACGATGCTGCCGAGGTGGCTTGGGTGACCAAACACGAAATCGAGCAATGGTTGACAGAGACAGAAAACGAAAAGTTTTGCCACAATGCTACAAGAGCATTGGTGCGCCGCATCATGGAAGAGTTAAATCATTTGGAGCAAAGTACAAAGAACAAGACAACAGCAGCTTCATCCTCCTCGTCGTCTTCTGAAGACTCGTAACCTTTGCGATCTTGCAATTCGACTTCTGGCTTGTTTGTCAACGTGGGAGGCATGTTTCTTGTTGATTTGCTTTGGCGGTAAAATTTTCAGTCTTCAAGAATTAAAGAACTACGGCTACGGCCCTTGTGGAGCAGAATGGTTTGGTCAGAGGCGAGAAATCCAAAAAAGGCATACAAAAATTGCATCATCGCGAATGCTGGTGGTGGTGCTCTTGCAAGTCTTGCAAGCGCATCAACTGGTGAACAGTTTGACCCATACCGTTGGAGAGTAATTCGAAATCGCTACCAGTTAGCGTCTTTTGAGTCGGCGGAAAGCCAGTGTAGGTTGCCGTAAATGATTGCGCAATGCCCGTTCCATAACCGATGGTGCGGAACCTCGGATTCTCAACAATTGTTAAACCAGCAGTGGGCGGCACGAATGAGCTGTCTCGGCTGAGCCATACTTGATAGCATTCATTCTTCTTTGGAAGAAAGGTCAAAGTTATGGCAGTCTTGCAGTTTCCAAATACTATTGACCTCTTGGAGATGAGTCTTCCCTGTTCAAACGGGAGCTGCTGGATTTGTCTTGGGTGCATCGCAGCGCTGGTATCATTTGGTTTTGGTATACCCTGCGCGATGATGGATATAGTGACAGGCCCAAGACACCACCAGCTATAGTCTGGAATTGAGATTGTACACTGAAAGAGAATAGAGTGTACTTGATTTACTGTCTTGGGAAGATACACGGCAAAGCAGTTTGGATGTGGCGAGTTGGTCCAGGCTTGGTGCTCACCATCGCCTAGCAATAGTGAAACGACTTGCGACAGAGCAAGTTCGGCTGCAAAACGCTTGCAAGAGCTGATGAGATGGATCGCATCACTGTGAGATAAGAAGGAAACAATCTTGCGTTTCACATCAAGGGGAGCTACTGAGAGCGAAGACCACTTCTTGGCAGTCAGAAATATCTTTGGCACAGAAACAATCGAGGCCTTATGATCCCATGGCGTATACTTTTGCAAAATCACTTCTTCCAGATGCAACTCATTGTATCCACCACCCCCAACGATGCACCAGAATTGATACAATTTGTTTGGCTTGGGCGGAAAGCGCAATGTCAAATGTCGTTTGTCGTGCTGCACTATGGGAGACATGGCCACCAATCGACCTTTTCCAAACGGAAGGGATAGTAGCTGCTTATCTAAATCTTTTTTCGGGCGTTCTTGCTCGACGACTAATACGCGACCTTGTTGATCACCCCATCCTTGATCATACCAATGACAATGGAATAGGAGGGTGGTTTGTCCTTCTTGGTTGTGATTGTTCGTTTCAGCGTCGTGGTTGGAACTCGCTGCAACGAGGAAGCAGCATGGTCGATCACCACATGATCCATCGAAATGGAACTGATTTCGACCACGAGTCAATGATGGGACTGTCCATTCCTGCGAACTGGTTGACCTTGTCGGAAGCTGTCTTGTTGTTGAGGTACTTCTCATTCGTTTCCCTTCCCAGGTCAGCATAGCCATTGCTATCGTTGTGGATGCGCTGGCTCTTGCATTTGCAGGCGCTGCACTATGTAGTCCCTCGAGTATGTTTAAAACGCAAGCTGATAATCAATCTGTTGATTGAATTTTATATGAGCATTTACATTTCGGAACAAGTCTCTGTCGAGTTCTTTCGCACGACACGATTGCAGATTTGGGATCCGTGTGTGACAAGCGTGAGTCTGTCGTGAATGATGGGTATGTTTCTAGAAACCAAACGAATTGATCCATGTGTATTGCAAGCGGCCTCTGTGCTCACATGGCACCATATTGATCCATCATGGGTGCGTCTCTTCGGATACTGTATACGTTTACTTCTGAATTGGTATCTTCAGTTCACCCCAAGTTGATGCAAATCCAACAAGATGACGTCATAGTGAAAGTCTGCTATTTTCTACGCATTTTCTACGTCCATCTGGAATCCATCAGTTGGTGGAGTACGAAAAATGTAATCTACAGATGTCAAGAACCTGTGACGTTACAGTACTTTCACAATCAGAACACAAACAAATCAAATAATACAATGACAATGAGAAGGATAGAATTACCAATGACCAGACTTATTATCGTAATAATATTACAGAGCTTGTTAATGACAGAGGGCTTTCAGGCAACGATACAGAACAATGGGTTCCACAAAGCTCCTATCCACTACTACAACTTCATCGGATCTGAGATTCCTTCTATAACTTCCAATCCGCGATTTTCCACTCGACAATGGGCATCGGTAGACGAAAACGATATGGCTCCAAGTTCCAGCATAGAACCTGAACCTGAAAAGAAAAGAAATACACCCTTTTACAAACTCCCAAAAGCTGCTTGCCGCGTATATGCTTCCTACGTCAAACGCTTGTGGGCGGAAACCGACGTTGCCGCCCGCGAAAGGGTTGCCGACGACAAGGTTCGAGGATCTATCCGTAACATGCAAAACATTCTGCTTCACGCCAAGGAATATGCCGAGTTTGATGATGCTACCTATGAGTCCCAAAACAAGCTCTTGGTGGCCTGTGAAGAAATGTTAGAAGCCCTTCCAAAACGAGAGACGGCAAAGGAGAAGAAGCAAGCGGACAAGGAAGTGACAACGGAACTCTCAATTGCAAACGGTGAGACATCAGAAGCGGTTGTACCGGAAAAGAAAAAGGGTCAGCGCTCCATTCTATTTGGAGCACTCATGGGGTTGACGGTTGCATTGTGGGTCTTTTCGGGTAGCTACATTTTTACTGGAGTCTTTTGTTCCATGACCATCCTTGGTCAATTGGAATACTATCGCATGGTGATGAATACCGGGGTATATCCTGCTCGTCGGATATCTGTCATTGGTGCCTCCAGTATGTTTTTGACGGTATGTTGACAAGCTCGTGAGAGAAGTTCAGTTGTCATGGTGCGATGCTGATTTTTTGCCTGCTATCTTGTATAGGCTTTGTTTGCGCCGGATTTGCATCAAGTCTGTCTCCCAATGTTTGGACTCTGGGCAATGGTTTGGTTCTTGACTAGAAGACGGCAGTTTTCGACTATTCCTGAGATTGCCACTACCTTTACTGGAATGTTCTATCTTGGCTATGTGCCCTCCTTTTGGGTTCGAATTCGACTATTGGGTGCCACCATGGAGCCCACAAGAATCTACAAGCTCATGGCTCCTGTCCGAGCCTTTTTGAACAAGAAGTTCGATATCCTCATCCCAAAATCCTGGATTCACGGCCCCATTACTAGTGGATCAGTCTTCATATTTTGGTCCTGGCTGAGCTTGGCGTTCAGTGACGTTGGAGCCTACTTTGTTGGGCGAAAATTTGGCAAGACGAAGCTGGGTGAGATTTCTCCAGCTGCAGGTGCTACTTCTCCCAACAAGTCCGTCGAGGGTGTCATCGGAGGCTGCGTCGTGAGCGCCATGTTATCTGTTATAGGTGCATGGGTTCAAAAGTGGCCTTACTTTGTTTTGACAGGAGCTATTCATGGTGCTATTCTAGGTCTGTTGGGATTAATCGGAGACTTGACAGCGTCCATGCTGAAGCGAGATGCTGGTCTGAAGGATTTTGGGGACCTAATACCAGAACACGGAGGAATATTAGATCGGGTGGATAGTTTTGTGTGGACTGCGCCATATAGCTGGCTAGTGTGCCAACACATCATTCCATTCCTCAAGACGACAGTATGAAAAGATGTATAAGTTGTACTGCTATAGTTCCCACTACCAAGTTTCGCGTGGTTGTTTACAACTTTTCTCTTGGAACGGGAACACAGCGCCACTCCTTGCATATTATACCTACCTCTATGATGTCATATCTTCATTCAATCTGATATTAAACAATACAACACTAATAAAAATGTTCTTTAAAAAAAATTGAGATACTCTTTGTAGACAAGTATGAATTCAAGTCGGGAAACTGTATTCCCGTGTCACTGCATAGTGAAGAGCTGCACGTCATCTGGGAATGGGTTTAGTATGCACCCGCCATATCTAGATCTTGAGTAGCCATAATGTCGTACACGCAATCCTTGATACTCAATGGATCCTTCAAAGTGGCACAGGCCTTTTCTGCCTCTTCCATGGAAACTCCGCTCTCGTCCATTCGACGGCGACGATCTCCACGCGGGTCTTCGGGAAGTAGACAAGACTTGGGGTACTGTGGATAGGAGATATCGTGGAACAGCATCATGTCGTCAGCTGGGCGCACTTGCCATTCGAGACCCAATTCATTGAAGTCCTCGATGACAGTGGATTGATCACGAGCATAAGTCACACCAGTTCGAAAGTCGCCCAAAATTCCCATAGTGTTTCCAACCGATTCTGCAGAAGCATCGATGAAATCAACCTTGACGAATTCCTTGTAGGTGGCAATCACAATCTTCTGGCCAGTGAACTTTGAGTCAAAGTCGATCTCAAATCTGCGCTTGGGGAAAGGTCGGGCCCCATCATCCACAACGGCCAATGGGAAACCTCCAAGGGTCTTGGACTTTGCTTGGTGATCAAAGTTGATCCAGTAGTTGGCCCGATCATTGTCCAAATCGCTAGACCCCTCGACTTCGAGGAAATCGTCGCCGATGCGAACAGCTGCGGTCTTGATGTAACTCCAATATCGAACAAGTTTGGTTCGGATTTGAACATCCAATCCAAGCCCATCCGCGAAGTTGGCATCCTTTGCCAAGACCAAATCGCACTGCCCGTGGAACTCAAAGTGCTCACCCTTCCAAGATGTGACTGTAATCATTGCAATCAAATACAAAAGTTAGCAGCGGCAATGGAAAAAACGTAACAGCATGCGATTGCAAAATACTTACAGTGGGGGTCGCCTCTGCTTCCGGCGTCGCTTGCGGTTACTAGGGGAAGATCCTCCAGAGGGAGGATTATGACGTTGTTAAGAAGGTAGGCAACTAGGTCCAAACCAGAATCAACTGGGAAAGTTGGGTTCTCAAGGTAGGCTATGAGTACTGCTGCAATTTCTTCGGGGGAGGCGGGCCCTCGAAGGAAGACGTCGACAAGTCCAGTGCAAGTTACATGTGACTCTGCTGTTTCCACACAAGTAACAAGGTCCCAGAGCACGTTGGCAATGACGTTCGGGTCCAATGCCAGTCTGCGTCGCTCCTTGCGGTGGTGACGACCGTGACGGTGGTGTCTCTGATGTTTGTGCTTGTGCTGAAGTCTGCGTCTCTGTTGTAGCTTTCTATTTGATCCTTTTCCTTTTCCTTTTCCTTTGGAGGACGAACCACAATTCACAATACCTTGAGCAACCAATGCTTGCAGTGCTGCTTTTGCTGTGGCGATGACAGTTGCCATGTTCGTCACACCATTGTTTAACCAGAGATCGAATGAAAATGTAAATGTCGACCTGTCCATACCGTTTTGGCCTTGGACAAGTTGTCCGTTTGTGATTGCTTGGCAATCCTTTGCTGTAGCTTCGACGTAAATAGAAGGGCCTCCAGGAGCAGATGCTGGAGCTGTGGATCCAGAAGGAGTTCCAAAGGTAACAATAGGAGCTGAGCTTGAAGGAAATGAGGCAGGAGACGCACTTCCAAATGTCGGCGAAGCAACTGAGGAAGGAGCTGCTCCCTTGGAACCTCCTTTGGAATAACCCTTCGAGCCTCCGCCCTTGGTGGAGTGATAAGAGATGGTCACGGCAACTGGCGATGCAATTGGCGGAGAATTTGGTGCTGTAATAGGAACGGTGAATGGCACAGTGGCGGGTGCAGCCATTGGCGAGGACACAGGGGCAAGAGGAGATATGCCGACAGGTTGGATTTCGGGAGAGGGAGCGTTTCCATTCGGTAAACAAGTTCCTGATCCTCCCTTAGAGCCCTTAGAGCCCTTTGATCCTTTGGCCCCTTTGGAGTACCTGAAGCCTTTGGGGCATCCTTTTGATCCTCCCTTGGAACCTCCCTTGGAACCTCCTCCTTTGGAACCCTTTTTGGCCCGACGTCGATCATCACGAGCAAGGCGACGTTGTCTCTTTGACAGTTTCGATTCTGGTTGAATCTCGAGGGCGTCAAAGCCCAACTCCAATTCTCCTTCCGCGACCGGTAGCTCTCCTTCCGGAAACTGAAAGGCAGGCTTGCCCCCATCAGCTACCTGTTCTGCACTCTCGGTGGCAGAAGAGTGGCCTTGCCGGTATCCAAATGTGAACAAGGCTGCGCCCAAAATGAGCGCCAAGAGAAAAGGAAGAAAAGACTTCATCCTGATTCCACTGCGAAATAATATGTGAGGTTGGTTTCGGAATGCTCCTTGTCGACATGCCACAAACATTCATTCAACGTACACAAATGAAGAGACGATCTTTCGCAAAACGAATTTTGTGAGATCTGTAAAGATATGGTGAAGCTTAATCTGTGATGCTGATCGTTAATTACAGGAATTGGTAGTATTTCAACACATTTGGACATTGGGGTTTATGCCTCGTGCCTCCAAATTTGTAATTATTGCGCAGCAAGAGTGCATATCTTGCAAGGCTAAAATATCATCCATGGCTTTAAGTTTCAGAAGTGTCAACAGCGCGTGCTTTGACTTTCAAGGTTTAACAGGAAAAACAGTCAATCACGGATATCATAAGATAAATAAATCTTCTTGATCTGGAATTCTGGGAGAAGGAGAGGAGTGAGTCACGGTTTCCGCAGGCTTTTCCACAGTCTGTACGTCGCACATGTCGAAGTAGTCATCTCATCCATGATTGCGTCAGCATTTTCATTTCATCGTATCGTACCATCGAAGCCCTTCCATCCCATTGATTCGTACAGTTGTACAACTTTCGGATCGTAGCTACCTGTGTCTATTTGTTCTCAAGTGGATGGTAATTATTTGTGCTGGCAGAAGTCTCGTTTCACAGTTTGCACGTAGGAGCGTCGCAACCAAGACCGCAACAAAAGTGGTGGGAAGTCGTAGAATGAAATTGAAAACACCTGTGACAGCCACTACGACTCTTTTTATTTCATCACTTTTCAGCAGTACATCCGTTGCTCTCGCGCCCAGCAAACAAAGTGGCAACATGTCATCAACCAAATCCATTTTGTCGTCTCTACAATTAGATAACTCTTGGCCACGTGATCTCTTTCCAGAAACAGAGGAAAACTTCAAGAAAAGTGTCGGTTTCGAGCACTTGAGTGAGGACACGGATAACCGCAGCAAACGACCAGTCTTCAATGGACACTATGTACTCGTAAAACCAACCGGTCTGAAAGCACCTGAGCGAGTTCTCGTCTCCGAGGACGTTGCTTTCAACCTTCTGAAACTGACTCCTGAACAAGTCGAATCAGACGACTTTCTAAACTGGGTGTCTGGTAATTTAGCACTTGAGGAGACTTGGGCGACACCTTATGCCCTTTCCATCATGGGTACAAGGTATACGAACAATTGTCCGTACGGAACAGGGAACGGATATGGTGATGGACGGGCCATTAGCATCGCCGAACTCAACGGATACGAAATGCAGCTCAAGGGATCTGGGAAGACGCCCTTCCATCGAGGAGCCGATGGTCGAGCAGTCCTAAGATCGAGTATTCGTGAATTCTTGGCCAGCGAAGCGATGCACTACCTCGGAGTGAAAACGACTCGAGCGCTTAGTCTAGTACGCTCCCAACAGGACAGGACGCAACGCGCTTGGTATTCGGATGATGCAGTCCTCCAGATTCCCGAAATGGATGATATTCGGTTGGCCCAATATCCTGAAGAGAAGCGCAAACAAATTATTCAGCAACTTCGCACATCGCAAAAGGCAGATCCGAATATCATGATATCTGAGGCTTGTGCCATCACCTGCCGTGTATCCTCTTCCTTTGTCCGAATTGGCCACTTGGATCTCTTTGCCCGAAGGGTGGAACAAACAAGAGCCAATGATGAAAAAAGCTACGACACGTCTACCCAAGAGTGGAAGGAGTTGGAAGCAATTATCTGGCATGCTTGCAAACGTGAATATCGCCAGGAGGCTTATGATCCCTTTGTTGAAAAGAAAGATTTGGAAGGTGCAGCAACCAAACTCTTGGAACATTCTGCGGAAAGAATAGCCACAATGGTAGCCAACTGGGTCAGAGTCGGCTTTGCACAGGGCAATTTCAATGCCGATAACTGCCTGGTCGGTGGGATCACTATGGATTACGGCCCCTTTGGCTGGATGGAAGAATATTATCCTTTATTCGCAAAGTGGACCGGCTCTGGGCAACATTTTGGCTTCTTAAATCAGCCCTCGGCGGGTTTTGTGAACTACCAAGTTCTTGTAGAGTCGGTAGCACCAGTGATAGCTGCTTCACGTGACAGTGATACCGATGAGGTGGTGGAGGAGTTCATGACGCGAGCACAAAAAGTATTTGAGGGTGAGGTCCACTCGGTCTTTCGGTTAAAGCTGGGGCTACCCAGAGATGCAGATGCGGGAGATGAATTGTGGGACAAGTTGAAAGATCTCTTCCCTAAATCCCGCACGGACTGGACTCTATTCTGGCGTCAGCTGACCTATGTAATGAAGGAATTCTCAGACTTGGAGTCGGAAGATTACGATGGAATGATGCAAACATTGGAAGGAAGTCCGAACAGCCCCAGTAGTCCATTTTACGAACCACTATCTGCTGAAGTTAGGAGAGAATGGATTGCTTGGTTGAAGGATTGGAGACAAGTAATAAAGGCAACTCGACCTTCGTCGGGCATGGCTGTCTTTGAGGTGATGAAGGAGGCCAATCCAAAATATGTACTTCGAGAGTGGATGCTTGTCGATGCGTATTCCACCGCAGATGATGGAGATAATACCATCTTGAACGAATTGTACGACTTGATACAGCGGCCCTATGAGGAGGGCAGCCAAGAGGAGGCAGATGCATACTATCGACGAGCTCCTGAAAGTGCCGTTGCTCGTGGTGGTACTGCTTTCATGTCGTGATCCAGTTAAGCGTGAGGACCTGGAGCTGTAACATTTTTGCTACCTAAGTCTCCAGCTTCACGCGGATAGAAATCTACCGGATTGTTCACGAGGCCATATTCTGCAGGACGTTGAGAATGACAGCACTAGAAGTACAGCTCGAATCGTTGTCGATTCTGCTGAATTCAAGTGCTTGAGATCGGTGTCCATTGAATGCAGTAGAAATGGTTGTGAAATAAACTAAATTTTAAATTGTTCATGTGTACGGTAATGTTCGATGTGTATGTGTTCATTACTCATGGTCAATCGATCTATTCGTTTGATCCGTTGAAAAAGATTGCTCTGCACGCGCTCTTCAAAATTCAAGAAATAGCTTTCCCGAGCTTTTGAATTTCTGCACGTGGATCATAGTTTCGAATCAGAACCTTCTTGCCAATCTTTCCTTGATTATTGCAAGCCTTGAATGCAAAGCCAGGAAGAAAAACAAAATCGGAAGAAGTAGTAGTAGAAAGCACCTATAATTCAATATACAATGAGCTCCGATCTTGAAAAGAAAGAAAAGACAGAGAAAACGAAGAGCATTCTTCGGTGGGCAGCTCTATTTTTGGGAGAGTTGCGTGATGGTTTGACAATGGTGCGTCATTGGAGGGGTCAACGGAACATTGCATGCATTTATGTGGTGAAATCTTGCCGATGCAATCAAAACGTGGCACATCTAACCGTTTCACTTTGTTTCCTCCCTCTTTAAATCTACAGATCAATATGCAAAGTGCTTTCTTGATTGTTGCCAAAGAGTATCACGAGACTCAAGTTGGGGTTCTATTTTTCGTGTTTGGAATGTCTCAGTTTCTCTTTCAGACTCCTGCTGGATACCTCTATGATTACACTGAAAATAAAGTCTTGTGGCTCTCCATGGCTGGAATTGCTACCACTACCATGACCGTACTTACTGCAATTTTTGCTACACAAGACAACTTTCTGCTAATGGTATTTATCAAGTTTCTCCAAGGAGGTATCACCTCATTTATTCCTCCTGGTTTGAACAGTATCACGCAGGGGATTGTGGGTTCGAGTGGTATGACAGGTCAGGTTGCCGTTAATGAAATGATGAATCACTTGGGAACTGCCATTATTGTCGGAGTTGGATCCATTATCGCCTACTCTCTCTACCCCAACATTGGGGTCTTGTTCATCGTCAGTCCGATTGCTTGCCTCTTTTTTGTTTACTTTCTGAATCAAATTAAATCCGAAGATATTGATCATGATGCTGCCCGTGGACTTGTTGCTGAGGTTTCCGACGAAGCTGCCAATGCTAAAACAACTAGTCAAGTGGAACCTAGTTATGCTTTTGGAGATGCCGCAACCACACACAATGCCGATGGCACGCAAAAGGCAACATCGCCGCTGCAACTTCTTCGGGATCCAATTTTGCTTCTATTTATTGTAATTTGCTTCTTGTTCCACTTGTCAAATGGAACCGTCCTTCCTTTGGTTATGCAAACTCTAGCAATTGGGAACGGAAAGAATGGAATCCTATTGAGTGGAATGTGTATCACGATTGCTCAGCTAGTCATGGTGGCCAGTGCAAAGACTTGTGGTACTTACTCGGAAAAATACGGTCGTAAGGGCCTGTTTTTGGTTGGTCTCGGTATTGTCCCAATTCGGTGTGCCATTTTGGCTGGACTTTTGGCGATTAAAGGTGATAGTGACGCTGGTTTTTTCCTGCAAACAGTGATCTTGTCCACACAAATTCTCGATGGTGTCGGTGCCGGACTTTTTGGAACCATGTACATTTTGGTCACTAGTGATATTAGTGGAGGAACCGGGCGATTTGGACTCACTCTTGGAATGACCACAGCCGCGATGAGTATCGGAGGAACGGTATCTGGATTCTTGGGTCAATATCTTGCGCAATACTATGGATACCTATCGGCGTATGTTATTTTGATGATCATGTCGTTGGTTCCAACACTTGTCTACCTAATCTTTATGCCAGAGACGCTCCCAGAGAAGCAAAAGATCGAGTCTGGACAAGGAGGAGAAGTTCAACCGAAAAGTGACTATATGGAGATGGTATAATGGAGTAAA